CTATCAAATTGGGGAATGGCTCTCATTCTCGTAAATTTGAATCCCTTCCTATATTTTGGAAATGAGATGTTGATCAAAGAAGCTGGCTACAAAGATTTTTTTTCCCCCGTACTTAACTGTTTCTTGAGTTTTAAGGTGAGGGAAAACAGATTCCAAAGACCTTGAACCAAGGGTGTTGGCTATGTGAATGTTGAGAAGGGGTTAAAGATTTTTGTGGAGGTTGTATCAAGAGGATTGACAACTAAATATATGGGGGGGGGGTGTCCAGGATGACCTTGAACTTGAGTGTCTGGGAGGGATGGTGATGGAAATAGGGTAACTTTGAAGGAGAGTGGGGAAGATTTACATAGAAGATATTCCTGAAAAATTGTGTAAAATATATTTCAGTGAACTGATGCCTTTGAAGAAATTCATTAGTGTTTGGGGGCAACTGGTACAAATTATACACAGCTGGGTTTGAGTCCTTAATTTGCTAGGTAATGGGGTTAAGTGACTTGCCCAGGGTCACACAGCTAGTAAGTGTCTGAGGCCAGATTTGAGCTCAGGTCCTCCTGAATCCAGGGCCAGTGCTCTATCCACGGTGCCACCTGGCTGCCCCTTGAGTCCTTACTATGACTGATGATCATGTCACCTTGAGCAAATCACTTAAAATGTCCAGAAATCAGTTCGTTTAGCTCTCTAGACCTAATTTACTTATCTGTAAAGTGATTGGGTTGAACTAGAGATCTCTAAGTTTCTTTCATTATGTCTTGTGATCCTCTAAATTGATAAATAGGGATAAAATGTGGCTTTGAGCTGTTGTGAACAAATTTCTTTGTAAATTGTCAGTCCTAGAAATAAGAGCTACAGCTATTGTACTTTGTCTAGTTAAAGGAGAAGGAACTTTCCCTACTTTCTTGGCTGTTCCCTTCTTCCCCCCACCCCACCCCAATAATCTATTCTTTGAATTCAAAATTTTCTCCAAGGGCTTAGGGGACACACCATCTTCTAGGACCTAGGAGCTCCAGGGGTATAGATCCAGGATGAAGGATGGTTTCCTGGCTGGGGGAAGGGGGCAGGAAGGACCACGGTGTGCCATCCTTTACCCCCCAAAACCTTGGGTTACATCAAGAGGAACTGAGATAGGGTGATAACCAACATTCTGTGCTTATCCAGCCCCATTTATTCAGTGCTGAGTGCCACAGTTTGAGAAGGCTATTGATAAACTGCAGGGCCACTAGAATGGTAAAGGACCTTGAGTCCACACCATGAGGATGAGAATGTTTGATTGGAAGGAGGTGAGGCCTGGGTTCAAGTATTGGAGTGAATTGAATGTCGTTGTAGATAACATGGATGAGAGGTGCAGTATATCAGAAAAACCTACCTCCAAAGAGCTGGAACCGGGTCTCACACCCAAGCCCAGTGGGGAGAGCCAGGGCACGAGTGAAAAGTTGGTCACGTAGCAAGAACCGAACCGCACAGTACTGGGAACAGCCTGAGTTCTCCACTGGAGTGCTCAGCGTGTCAGGAGAAGGGAAACTTTCCAACGTATTGGGGGGGTTCTCAGTTGGTTTGGCCAAAAGTCTACATGAGATAGTCAGGCATGCAGGGGTTATATGAACCAGTGGAAGGAATTCCAAATAAACGGGGTTTTGTTTGTTCAGTCATTTCAGTCGTGTCTGACTATGACTCCATTGGGGTTTTCTTGGCAAAGATAGTGGAGTGGTTTGCCATTTCCTTCTCCAACTCATTTTACAGATGAGGAAACTGAGGCAAACAGGGTGAAGTGACTTGCCCAGAGTCACACAGCTTGTAAGCGTTTGAGGCCAGATTTGAACTCGGGTCTTCCTGACTCTAGGCCCAGTACTCTATCCACTGAGTCACCTAGCTACCCATCTTGCAGGAGTAGCAAGAAAAAAAAGCAGTGAGGGGTATGGTTTGAATTTAACAAGTTTGATTGGAACAGCAGATAAAGTGGGAGACTAGAGACTTGGGAAGCTGCATTTCCAGTCATAAGAGCTGGGTTCAAAATATACATATATAAAATGTATGCAAAATATACATTATAGCTGCTTAATAAAAGCTAGGTAGTTCAATTGGCTAATCCAGGCATCTCCCCAGCTGTCCCCTAGATGATGGGATAAGAGACCTCTTTCTGGAGTATTTCGATTAAAGAAAAAAGAACATTGCTTAGGTATTAAGAGTTCTGTTCCTACCCTGTCACCCCACCCTGCCCCCAATGTCAAAGGCTGGAGCCCACTTGTCTGGTATGTTGGAGAAAGGTCTTGCACTTAGGTATGATTTGGATTCAATGTCCCATTTCGGTATCTTTTAGCTCTGAGATTCTGTGACTTTATCCAGCCAGTATTTACTGTGCTTGCTGAGTGTTTGAGTGGGATACACAAAAAAGAAAAGCGTTGCCTGTCCTCAGGGAGCTTATAGTCTCTCCCCTGGGCATTAGCAGCCTGTTGAGGCTTGGCTTGGTTTCTTTTGGGGAGGAAGGAAGGAAGAAAGAAAAAGAAAGATTACCCGTTTCATCATTTCCATGGGTGGGGATGAGACTGCGGTCAGGACCAGTAACCACATCAACCCAGGTTTCCTCCTTAGCCCCAAAGATATCCCTGTGTCCTGTCTCCTGCTGAATGAGCGATTTGTTTTGGGGAAAGGGAGGAGTAACTCAGATGGCCTGATTAATAACCCCGCCTCTTGGCTGGTCTGGGGAAGAGGAGGATGGTCATGGGCAGCTAAGAGCTGGAAAAGGAAGATACTTTGGGGACCAATGTCAAAACTCATCGTGTGTGGGCCAGCTGCATTTTTGGCAGTTTTGGGTGGGACAGGTCTAGGGGTGCTCATCCAGAACTGTGACCCCAGCTCTTAAGACATTCCTCCCCCAACCATATTTCTTCAGGGCTTCTGGTCTGCAGTAAGTGAGATCGGATGAATGATATTAGAGCTATGTCCAATAAAATGTGAGCTGCTTGTAGTGGAAGACTTTCTTTCCCTTTTTTTGGTCTTTCTAGGGTAGTGGATGTGGTGGGAAGGTCCTCACTCTGGGGCCACTGGTCAGGTTCATATCCTGACTGACATTTACTGTCTTTATAAGTTTGACCAAGTCACTTAAACCAATGGGGGGCTGTTTTCTCATCTGTAACATGGGGCTGGGGGTTATAGGTTGGACCTCTGAAGTCCATTTTAGCCCTAGATCTGTGGGGATCATCATAAGCTCTTAATAAATGATTGTTGAGTTGGGATTAAACAGCAGCATGGTGGATTCAGGGAAAGGCTTTTTGAGTGGGTATCCACATGGCTGGTGCTCCGGTGCAGCGGCAGCCCAGAGGGTGCTTTACAGTGCCTCCTTTGGGGAAGTAGTCCTAGGCCAAGCAGAGACCGTCTTGGGGGGGCCAAGGGTCTTTATTCAGCCAACAAACATTAATTAAATGCCTACTGTGTGCCAGGTGTTGGGGATTCAAAGACATGAATGAAACAGTTCTTGCCCTCAAGAAACGAAAGGCTTTGCTTGGTCATAGGCTTCCTCATCTCAGACTCTACTGTGTATTTCCAGCCCCGTCCTTTGGCACAAGTGATGCTGTAAATGTAAATATAGCCAAAGGACCAGCTTGTGTATCCTCATTCTCTCAACTTCTGACCTACTATACCCCTGCAACCCCGAAGGCAGCAGAGGCCTGGGGAGCTCCCCACCCCAGTCAGGCCAGGCCCTGATGCTGGCAATGTCATTCATGGCCCTCCATTCCTTACTGGAGGGATCTCATCTGGGCTAGGGGAGCTACCAGGAATCCCACCCCAGATCAGACAGGACAACATGTGGCTCCTGTTAACCATCCAGGATTCAGTCCTCCTTCCCCAAAACTTTCATGACTAGCTGCCTGGGAATATGTGGGGCTCTCCTGGGTTCCCTGGACTAGCCTTACTTAGCAAGAAAGTAAGAAAAAAGATGCCCAAGGTTTAGTGGATTATTTTGTATGTGAGCCTATGGATACGTATGTCTGCATGGTCTTTCCTTCAAGAATGTCAGTAGTTATCTGAAAAAGCATGAGGTTTTTTTCTTTTTGTCCTCCTTGTCTAAAATGCAGACCTACTCCTCAATCTTGAGATTAAAAAACAAGCATTTATTTTCTTTTGTTTACTTCCATCCCCCCCCAAATAAAAGGGCGAAAAACCCCCCAAAACCCAGTAACAGATATGTATACTTAAGCAATACAAATACCCACGAGGTGGTTAACTGTCTTCATCATCAGTCCCTTGGAATCAGAGTAGGCTGCTTGGACCTGAAAGGGGCTTCGGAAGGAATTTTAGTCCAATCCCCTCATTTTACATGTAGGGAGACTGAGGACAGATAGTTTAAAGACCTTGGGTCAAGGTCACATTGGTATTAAGAGACAGAGCTGGGATTCTAGCCCAGATCCAAATTCATTGCCCTTTCTACAGGACCAGGGTGTCGTCTCTCTTTGACTCTATCAGCACATGACTGCATGCACGTAGCATCTGTGTATTTTTATGTTTGGGGATGGAGAAGGATTCCGAGAGCTTAAGAAGGGAGGCCCAAGTCCTACTGGAGGTGGGGCCTCCCTGATACCTAGGGCCTGGGAGTGACCATTTAAATAAAAGGGGGTGGGGCAGAGATGCCAGTAGAATGCCCCACTGGTATCTGTGGCTGGTACAGGCTCAGAGCCCGCCCACTGCTGACATGGTCCCAGGGGCCTGACTCACCCTTGGTGTGGCACTGACCTATAATTTTCCTGGCGTCTTGCATTAAGGAAGCATTGAAATGGGCTGTTCCCACAAACCCAGGGAGGCTGCCTAGGCCTCTGGAGAGGCCGGTCCTCTCCCTTCATTGGCTGGGGAGCAGCCCCAGCTGGCAGTCCTTGGCTGGGGGTCTCCCTTAACACTCCCTTGGCTTGAGGACTCATAGCATCTTCCTCTCTGTGGTGTTGGAGGAGGGGGGTGGCTTTTCCAAAGTCCTCATCCGTTGACCACCAATTATTTACTTTTGTGTCTTTCAGGAGGTGGCCAGCTCTGTGTACTTGGTTATGGAGGTGAGCCCTTTGGTCCTGGCCCAGTGGCAGTGGGAGAAAAGAGCACTGTATGAAGCTGGGCCTCTTCTACTACTAGGAGGAGCTGTCAGGATGGCATCAGCTCAGAGCTGGGAGGACCCTGGTAGCACAGCATGTCTGGGAGGAGCCTTAGAATACAGACTGTCAGAGCTGGGAGGGCCCTTAGAACACAATGTCAGAGCTAGGAAGGCCTTTAGAACATAGGATGTCAGAGCTAGGAAGGCCTTTAGAACACAGACTGTCAGAGCTGGGAGGGCCCTTAGAACACAGACTGTCAGAGCTGGGAGGGCCCTTAGAGTATAGACTGTCAGAGCTGGGAGGGCCCTTAGAACACAGACTGTCAGAGCTGGGAGGGCCCTTAGAACACAGACTGTCAGGGCTAGAAGGTCTCTTAGAGCACAGAATGTCAGAGCTAGGAAGGCCTTTAGAACACAATGTCAGAGCTGGGAGAGCCCTTAGAACATAGGCTGTCAGGGCTGGGAGGGCCCTTAGAACACAGGATGTCAGGGCTGGGAGGGCCCTTAGAACACAGGATGTCAGGGCTGGGAGGGTCTTCAGAACACAGAACGTTGAGCTAGGGAGGGCGCTTTGGAGGTTTTACAGATGGGAAGCTTGTGTCGTGACCACCTGAGGTTGACTTTTCTCTTCTCTCTTTCAGTACTGCAATGGGGGTGACCTTGCTGACTACCTGCACTGTGAGTAACTCAGCCCCACTCGTTAAGAGGGCTCTTGGGATTGAGTAAGCGTGCCTGTAGAGCTGGGGAGGGATCTGGAGTGAGGTTTGCTGAGGATTGCCCAGCTAGTGGTTTGGATTTACCTGGTGAACTGGTAGTGAGGGCCTGGAAGTCAGACAAGGCGGAGTTCAGATCCCTCCTCAGGTACCTGTTGACTGACCCTGGATGAGTTGTTTCACCTGTGTGTGCTTAGTCCTCTTCTCTGTAAAATAGGAATAATAAGAGTGGTGGCCTTTCCAGCATTGTTGTGGGTATCAGTGAGGTAGCATTGAATAGTCAGGAAGAGCTGAATTCAAATCTGTCCTCAGTGCTGTGTGACCCTGGACAAGTCCCTTAACCTCTGTTTGCCTCAGTTTCCTAATCTGTAAAATGGGGATAATAATAGCACCTATTTCCCAGGGTGGTTGTGAGGACCAGGTGATACAATAATCACAAAGCACTTAGCACAGTACCTGGAGCATAGCAAGCACAGTATAATCCTTAGCTGCATTTATTAGTGTAAGTAAAATGCTTTAGCAAACCTTAAAGAGTGATAGAAATGCTACCTGCTTTCCTCAGTTTGGCTTCTCTGTCTTTGCCTTTTTATTATTGGCCAAGGAGGCCAATCACAGGCAGAGAGAATAAATTATTAATAAGATAATTTCTGACCAGAGCAGATGTTTTGGCCATGGAGAGAGAGGGAAGGGAGTGTGTTGGGGTCTAGAGCTTGGCGAGGGTGGTTTGGAGTGGGGAGGGATGAGGGGTGGACCAGCTCAAGGTTAGGACACTCATAGGCCCAAGGTCACTTCTCTCGCCCCAGGGTGGTCAGGCCCTGAGGTTTGCGGCCTGCCCCTCCGGATCTTCTTTGGGGACCCTAAATAAAGCGGGGAGGCATCTCTCCCAAGGTTGGGTGCTCCTTAGAAAGGTGTTTGGATTACTCTTGCCTTTATAGCCGGTGTTGGTGAGAAATGGGGGCTTGCGTTCTCTGGTTGCTGGGCATGACAGGGGGTATTAGTGGGGTAGCTACCAGGAGAGGGGGAGGCCTGTAGGAGCTCCAGAAAGCAAGCCTAGAATGAGAACCAGGGGTGTGGGATGCTGGGGGGAGGGAGCAGGGCTTGCTAGGAAGAGAGTGCTGGCTTTGGAGAGATCAGAGATGTCCTGGGTGTTTACACCTCACGTCTATCTGTTCTTGGGGCAGAGCAGGTCATAGTGTTCAAGCTTGTTTCCTCTCCTGTGTAGGGGAGATGAAAAGTCTTATGCTCCCAAACTCACTGGCTTATTTGTTGCAAGAACATGACAAAGCCCTTCATCTTAGATTCGGATGCTCTAGAAATGTGAGTCGTGTTGGTGATTGTACCTGAAAGAGGCACTATCTGAGGCCTCAGATGAGGCAAGTTAGCACCTTGCCCCAGGGTCATCCATCCACTCAGGGGCTGAGGCACTTAGAGGCTCCTCATTCCTAGACCTGGGTCCCTGCTATATCTGGCAGGGCTGAACATTGACAGATGGGCCAAAGGGCCACTCGCTGGGGTTAGGCCTCCTCCCATGTACACATACACTTACATAAGTGGTAGGCAGTCTGTAAATATTGGGGTTGATTGAAGGTGGTCTCTGATCAGTTAGCACGCCAGCCCTGGACCTAGCCCCCTGCTTTGTTTATTTTTCTCTTTGTCTGGACGGACTGTCTGAGCTCAGAGCTCAGCTCCATGACCTTTAGCGTGCTGATAAGCTTGTGTCCTCAGGGCTCAGTAAGGGGGCCGGCATAGCTGAGCTGTCCAGACTTTCCAGCCAAGTGCCCAGGAGGCCCCTCAGGGAGGCAGATGGCTCTTCCTCTCTAGCCTCTCCCCCTTTTCTCTGGGAGGCCCCTTCTGATCGATCTGTCCCAGAGCCATTGTTTGCTCTTTGTGGGGTGTGATGGAAGGATTCTGATTACAGCTCTGAGCACGGGTTGTGGTCTGGTGACATGCCATGTGGGCCTGGGTGCACGGCTCAGCTGTATGTGGCCATGCGTGCATCTGTCTACTAGTACCAGCCTGTGCACCCGTGGGCAGATCACTTCTTCCTCTCTGGCCTTGGATGTACTCATCTGTAAAATGGGGGAAGGAATCCCTCCCCCAGAGAAGCTGGTATGCAAGAAAGAACTTGAAGGGAGCAGGAGAAGGGGCCACATTTAGTGTCTAGGTAGCCCAGGGTTAAATGCTAATGGCCTGGGTTCAATTCCTCCATAATCCACTTAACTTTTGCATGTTTCCAAATTCCAGTCTGAGCTCCCTGTTTCTGTTCTGGTTATAAGGGGGCTTGGAGGAGAGATACTTTGGTGTTGCCCTCCCCCCACTACTGGCAAAGACCCCCTCCCCCAACATGATGGGAACCATGTCTAACTCGGAAAGACTTCTTCTAGGCATCTGGGCTTTGGGGGGTGGGGAGGGCAGCTGACCCGGTTTTGTCCCTCTGCCCTTGAAGTGTCTTCTGCTGAGTCTAGAGGACCATAGATTGAAAGCTGGGAGAGACCTTAGGGGTAATCTAGTCAGCTTTTTCATTTTACATATGGGGAAACTGAGTCCCACACTGGTTAAATGCTCATCCCCAAGGTCCCACAGCTAGTAAACGTCAGAGGCATGGCCCTGTGATGCCAGGACCATTTCCACAGGGAAACAAGCTGGTGACCACGGAGGCTGGCAAGGAAGGGTCATGGACAGACACAGACACACACACTCACACATTCACACACTCATGCATGGCTGTTCTTTTTTTTGTTCCTGAGTCCCAGTGGTTCCAGGTTTCTCTGGAGGGAGGAGAAACTGTAAGAATTTGCTCTCAACCCTATGACCTGAATGCTAGAAAAACTGAAATTTAGCCAAAACCAATCCTCACATCAGAAAAAAATGTGATGTTATTTACCATGTTCCTGCACCCATGGACCTTGAGAGCAGGAGGTTTAGAAGGGGGAAGGTGTCTTGGGTCCCAGAGGATATTTTTAAACAGATTTCTTAGTTCTTGTAATTTAATTTTTTTTGTTATGAAGTCACATCATTGAAACAGCATTTCAGTGTACAGAGAACTAAAGAGTGTTGTATGTGCAGTTGTTTTTAGAAAATGCACATTAACAAGGTGTCGTTCCTATATTTTTTCCAGAAATTTGCTGTGTGTGTGCATGTGTATGCGCACATGCCCGTGTTTATTTTCTGTTTTTGTTCTTTTGCTCAGTAAGGCCCTCCCCCACCCCCTTTCTCTACACATCCCTCAGAAGGGAGCATCTGGGATAGCCAGAGCTAGTCCTTTAAACAGAGAGCCCTCCAGCCTTATTTTTTTATATCCCCTTGGACGATTTGTTTAGGAGTTCTTGATGCAAACATCTGGTCTTTCCAGATGTTCTGCTGAAGATAAAACACACAGTGTTGTGTGTCCAGGAAGAGGGAAGGAGCCTTTCTTGGGCCTTAGTTGTGATGGTCAGATTACTAAAGGCTCAGATTGGAGACTTTGGACTGAGTTTCCCCCAAATCCCCTGAGCCTGGCCCCAGACTGAACTTCGGTCCTAATCCCAGGGCATGTGTAGGAAGCAGGTTTTACCCCCTATGCCCTAAGGACTCCTCCCACCCCACCTTCTAATTCTCTAGAAGGAGAACCAGAGTGAGAGGTTAGGTCAGGGGTAGGGTTCAGTCAAAGGGCCATACTTGAGGACCTAGAGAGCTACTTGTTGCCTTGAGGCTAAAGATTCCCCACTCCTGGGTTAGGAGGCTTTTATGTGAATTTATCCCTAGTTTTGTAGGTTAACCCTGTGAGCCTAGACATGTGCCTTGTCTTCCTTGGGCTTCAGTCTCTCTAAGATGGGGATAGTGATAATGGATGGTGGCAGGAAAGAGGGGTTTTGGGAAGTATAAAGAACTTCTGAATGGGGGTTGAGAGGTTGGAGAGTTGTTGGATCTCAGGAGGTGGGGACTCTTATGGGCTTAGTCCTTTAGGGAGGGGGGATGTTGTCAGTTCAGGTGAGCCCCAGAAACAAATGGGACCGTGGTAGGCACTTTACAACCATTGATGGTTGATTGGATTTTTTTTTTCTTTCTCTCCCCTTTCTGTCAGCCATGCGGACCCTGAGTGAGGACACCATCCGGCTCTTCCTCCAGCAGATTGCAGGTGCCATGAGGATGCTGCACAGCAAGGGTATCATCCACCGGGACCTGAAGCCCCAGAATATCCTCTTGTCCTACTCTGGGGGCCGAAAGTCCAACCCCAACAACATCCGGGTGAAGATCGGTGAGTGCCCGGAGGCCTGTGTGACCCAGCCCTAGCTCGGAGGGGATGGGTTCTGTCTCAGGACAGAAGCAGGGCCTGGGGTGCCATTTGGGAACTTACTACGCCATGCTTTTCCTTTAAAAAAAAAAAAAGAGAAGAGTCTTGTTTATATAGTTTGGTTTTATATCGCCTAAACTTGCCTCTTCTCAGTCTACAAGCATTTATTAAAGCACCTACTACAGGCAGTGAGGTGGTGTGGTGGATAAAGTCACAGGGCCTGGAGTCAAGGAGACCTGAGTTCAAATCCAGCCCCAGACGATAACTTGCTGTGTGACCCTGGGCAAGCCATTACACCACTGTCTGCCTCAGTTTCCTCAGCTGTAAAATGGAGATAAGAGTAGGACCTACCTCTCAGAATTGTTGGGGTAAAATGAGATAATATTTGTAAAGCACTTTGCAAAGCTTAAATGTGCTCTGTGTGTGTGTGTTATTTATATAATTTATAATTATATAATTATAATTATTAGAGAATTTTTAAGCAAAAAGAGAAAGTAATTCCACAATCTGCTAAATACAAATCTGTTCTCTGCAGTACTGCATGCCCATGGCTGTCCTCCACCTCTGTGAAGGGTTGGGCACCATTTCTCTCTTCTTCTCTCCTTTCTTTGGGGCCAGTTTCACAACGCCCATTTTCTCGACTTGTTCTGTGGTGGCTGTTTTCCATTTCCATTTAAAGCAGGTGCTAAAAGCAGAGTTGACTTGTCAGTCTCCCTAGAGGGATTGGTCCCTTGAGTAGAATCTCCTTCCCCTCCCCCTCCAAACCTGGGCCCATATTTACAAGATAGAGGCAGCCTGCGGCATTAAGGATTGAGCATTAACTTTGAAATTAGGAAGATCCAGGTTCGAATCCTGCCTCAGGCGCTTGTCATCTGTGACCTGAGCAAGTCATTTGATCTCTTTAGCTGCAGTTTCAAATGGGGATAGTAAGCGGGACGGGCAGCTGGGTGGGTGCAGTGGATAGAGGGCTAGGCCTGGGTTCAAATCCAGCTTCAGATTTTTACTAGCATGTGACCCTGGGGAGGTCACTTAACCTTGTTTGCCTCAGTTTCCTCACCTGTAAAATGAGCTGGAGAAAGAAATGGCAAGCTCCTCCAGTATCTTTGCCAAGAAAATCCCAAATGGGATCACCAACAGTTAGACTTAACCCCGTTTGCCTCAGTTTCCTCATCTGTAAAATGAGCTGGAGAAGGCAATGGCAAACCACTGCAGTATCTTGGCCAAGGAAACTTCGAATGGGGTCATAGCATCAGACATGATTGAAGCAAACAGCAACAGAACTTCTGATTGCACATCTGGCACTCTTTCCTAATCGCTGTTAAAGTCAGTGATTATCATGGATATCGACTTTGGGCACATGTCTTCCAAGGCACCAGAGGGAGAAGATAGAAAAGCTCTACCACTGGGGTAACTGAGGTCCAGACCTTAACCTGACCTCTAAAAGCATGACTTCATTATCTAGGCAGCCTTGGAAAGGTTGAGAAGGATGGAATCTGTAGTCCAAAGATTTGGATTTAGAAATCAGGAGACCTGGGTTCAAATTCTACTCTGTGACCTTGGGTAAGTCGCTGAATCTCTGGGCCTCAGTTTCCTCATCTGTAAAAATGGGATCTAAAATTTTTGGTTGCTGATCCCAAAGCCTGATTTTCCTGGGATCATGGATCTGGAGAAGTTATCTAGTCCAGCCCTCTGCTTTTAGAGAGAGGGAAACAGAGGCCCAGGGAGTCATGTGACTTGTGCTAGTTGGTATCTGAGGCAGTCTTGGAACCCAGGTCCTGTGACTCCAAGGCTACCACATGTACTCCCTGGGGGACACCCCTGGGGACGGGCCCTCAGTGAGGGACACTACTGAGCCATAGCTTTTTTCAGCTTTTATGTGGAGCTAAGACCAGGCAGGGTGGAGGCCGGGCCCCCAAGTCTTCTTGTCCCCACTTTCCCTCTCTCTGTCTGGGGCAGCACAGGTTAATGGGTAACCGAGTCAAGAGCAGAGTTGATTTCCGGCTCTGTCTCCCCACAGGTTTGTTTAATGAGTTAGCTTGTTTAATGAGTGCAGATGGGGTCATCTGAGGCCTTCCCCAGGTGTGAGCCAGGCTTTTGTGACTGGAAGATATGGGGGCTCGTGAATGCACATATTGCTTTGCCCTAGTCTTTCGGGGCTGGTGAGAGTTCAGGGACCCCCGCGGTGCAGGCCCCTTCTGGGAGAATTCCCTGGTCCATCCCTCTATCTCCGAACAGCTATCTTAGAATTTAGCCTGGAGGGGCCCTTAGAAAATGGTCTTCTCCAGTTTCCTTTGCAGAAGAGGAGACTGAGACCTGAAAAAGGGAGGGGATCTGAGCAAGGTGCCCTGAGTGGTAAGTGGCTCCCATCCAAACAGCCCCCCGGAGTCAGGAAGCCCTCTTGGGTCCAAACTAAGAATTTCTTGCTGTTGAAGTCAATACATTTCTTCTGACCTTCATGCTGTGGGGAAGCTATAGCATTGGTGATGGAAAGGGAAGGGAATAAGCATTTATTAAGCACCTACCATGTTCTAGGCACTTTGCAAATATTCTCTCGTTTGAATCTCACAACAATCCCTCTCTGGTGAAGGTTATACTATTATCCCCATTTTATAGTTGAGGAAACTGAAGCAGATAGAGGTTTCAGTAACTTGCCCAGGATCACAGAGTTAGTAAATGTCTTGAGTCTGGATTTGAACTCAGGTCTTCCTGACAGCAGGCCTAGCATTCTATCAACTCTGCCACCTAGCTGGGGAAGGGAGGGAGGGTTATAGAAGGCTGACACCTGGGTTCAAAGCCCAGCTCTGCATCTTACTTGGAGCAGCTCCTTTGGGGCTAAGTTGATCCAAAATAAACTGGGAGAGGAGAATTTTAAGCATCTTATTTAACTTGCTGTGCCTGGCATTGTGCCAAGCCCCAAAAGATGAAAAAGCAGTCTCTGCCCTCAAGAAGCTTGCATTCTGTTGGGAACGAGTTGGGACAAAGAAGCACCTGTATATCCCTATTTCCCCTTTGGTACATGACCAGCTGTCTCTGACCACGAGTAGCTAAGAATAAAGGATAGATACTGAGGCCTGGTATCCTTGTGATGGAGCTGAATCCAGGACTCCCTCCTGGCAGGGCGGGGGAGGGAGAGAAAATGGGAGGGGGGGAGGAGTAGGGAGAGAAAGAGGAATAGGAGGAGGGGGGAAGGGCAGCTATTAACTCCTTGGCTGCCAGAGCCTCTGGGCGGGGGCTTGGTAGGGATGGTCTGGTTCAACCAGTGTCTTAACTCCCGGAGGTCTCTGTGTATGTCTCTGGGGTTATGAGTGTCTATGTCAGGAGTTGGTCAGTATCATCATTTTCGGTGGCTTAGGACAGAGGTAGTTTGGGCATTGCTGGGCAGCCCAAGCAAGCAAGGTCTTTGCAGGATCAGCCCTGCATTCATTTTTATCTCTTTGTTGTAGCTGATTTTGGATTTGCCCGTTACCTACAGAACAACATGATGGCGGCCACGCTCTGCGGTTCTCCCATGTACATGGTGAGTGGTGTCCCTGTCTCTTCCCCCTTCCCTCCCACCCTGCCACATACACGCTTGCTTACATATGCATGGGCAGACACATGGGCAGGAAGGAAGTAACATGTAGAGATTCACTCATGTTATTGTAAACGCTACCCTCACACGTGCATATGTACCTATATAACAGATGGAGTTCTGTGTGTGTACAGAAACACTGTCCTTACACATGTGCTTGTATAAATGTGCACTTGTGGACGATAAAATAATTCTCTCATGTCCACAATAGGCCCTGTCCTTGTCCCATGTACACATACATGCGCGTGCACCACTCGCAGGGGTCGTCTTGTGACCCTTCTTCCTGCCCCTGTCTATATCTGTGCACATACAGAACCTCAGACATTCTGGGGTCTACAGACCAGGGTCCTTACTCCTTCCATGGGAGCCACTTGGTTTTGAGTGGCTTAGGAGGCAGATCTGGGATGGGCACAAGGAGGAGGGTTTCTGGCTCAGCTGTGGAAAGCTGACGCAGGGGGTCTCTCAAACTTCTTATCCCAATGTCATACCCATGGCAGGATATACCTTTTCATTTAACTGTTTTCTTCCCTTTAATGTATTACTGTATTTAATGTATTACTGATTTTTTTTCAATCATTCTTTTTCCAATGACTCCCTCCTCACCCCAGTAGAACCCTCCCTTCAGTCAGCAGGCATTAATTAGGGAGAGCCCACCATCAGTCAGTGGGCACACCCACAAGGTAGTTGGCATTGTCTTCGATGCTGGGGGATACATCACTTACACGCTATTAGCGAGTGGGGAGAGTGGCAGGGACACAGTAGAATGTGTCTATATGTAAGAGATAAACAAGGTCATTTTGATGGCGGGTTGGTAGCAGCTGTGAGGGACTCAGAAAGGCCTTGTACAGGGGTTGGGCCTTGAGTTGAGCAGATGTCCTCAGTGAGAGAGCCAGCACACACACACAAGGGTCATCTCTTATGGATACCCCATTCCTTTGACTTCTCTGCCGTGAGGGATACTTGGCCAACAGTCTTGTGAAGTCATGATTGCTCTCTGAATCATGGCAGTCATCATGTAAATTGTTCTTCTGTTTCTTAGAACTCTTCCCCCCGAGTTTCTTAGGATTCTTCATGCTTGTTTTTTCTTGTGAGACCTGTTCTTGACAACTACCAATTCATGTTGATGTACCCGGAGCCAGACTCACCCCAGCAGAAGGTCAGATCGATCTGTTCCTCCATGAGGATGGAAGCTTAATCCTTTGGCAGTTTATGTGTTATTTTTAAAAAAATGTATCACAGTATCAATACTGTTGCCTTCCACCATTCCCATATTAAGAAGGGTGTCGGGGCGAGGAAAGCTTGTAACATAATCATACTCAAGCAAAGCAAATCCATTCAGTGGCAATGTGAGAAAAGTCTCATTCTCTCTGTGGGGAAGTAGGTAACAAGCTTCATCGTCGGTTTTATGGTGATGGTCATGGTTTTGATCAGAGTTCACAGGTCTTTCAGAGTTGTTTTTCTTTACAGTGTTGTTGCAGTATTGATCTCCATGTTCTTCCAAATTCCATTTCCTACTCATTCTCATTTCCTAGGATTCTCTGAAACCTTCCCTCAGGTCATTTCTTTGTGACCTAATAATCCATTCAATTCACATACCAAAGTTTCTTCCAGCCAGTCCCTGATCGATGGGCATCTCTTTGATTTCCAGTTCTTAGCTTTTTATTTTTTCCTTTTCTTTTTAATCCTGTTTTCTGGGTGAAGAAGTTTGTTTTTCCTTTTAAACCATTTGACTCCTTTAATACCATTGGAAGACATTAAGGTTAGGGCATTGGAAGACATTAAGGTATTTTCCCCCATTAGAATATTAGTACTTTATTATCAAACAGCTCCTTCCTGTGTTGCTCAGATATGTTTATCTTTCTAGGTGTCTGCAGAGTATTGTGCTTCCATTTCAAAGTTCCTACTTAGCTGTTATCTTTTCATTAAGAATGATTAATAATCCTATTCCATTAAAAATCCTATTCCATTTTTTTCCCCTTTAGTCTTATACTTAGCTTTGCAGGTAAGTTACTCTTGGTTGCAAGCCCCCCCCCAATATATCTATAGATTTAGATATAGAGATAGTTATCTCTGTGTGTATACATACATAGATACATACATATATGTGAGAGAGAGAGAGAAGGGAAGGAGGGGGAGGGAAAGAGAAGTCTCTTTCTTTCTTTCTTGGTTTCCGTCTTGCCTACTTGAGAGTGAGAGATACAGATTTTTATATATAATCTTGCTTTTTGTCTTCCAAGCTCTCCTCTCAGGTATGGTAGAAGCTGCCAGGTCTTGTATGATTTTGGCTGATTCCCTTCTGGTGGAGCTCCTTTCTGGTTGCTTTATAGTATTTTGGAAATTCTGGATTTTGGCTGTGACATTCCTGTGACTTATCCTTTTGGTGTTTCAGCAGGTGATTGGCAAATTTTTTTCTTGTCTTTATTTGTCCTCTGATTCTAATATATTTGGACAGTTTTAATTGATGATTTCTTGAAATAGTGTGTCTGGGCTTTTTTTTTTTTAACATAATTTTCAGGGAGTCCAATGATAAAATTATTTCTCCTTGACCTATTTTCTAGATCAGTTGTTTGATGTCTGTCTGATATCCTACAGTTTCTTCAGTTGTTTTTTTTAAATATAAATTTATTTATTTTTCATTTTCAACATTTACTTCCACAAGATTTTGAATTCCAAATTTTCACCCCATGTCGCCCCTCCCCCCACCCCAAGATGGCATGCATTCTGAATACCCCTTCCCCTAGTCTGCACTTCCTTCTGTCTCTCCCCCCCCCTTCTCTTATTATCCCCTTCCCCTTCTATTTTCCTGTAGGGCAGGATAGATTTCTGTACCTCATTTCCTGTATTTCTTATTTCCCTGTTGCATGTGGAAACATTTCATTTTCTTCAGTTTTGTCTAAGACTTCTTGCTGACTCATGGAGTTACTGATGAATCTTTTAGTTTTCCGGGATTCCAGTTTTGGGTCAGGTTTACTACTTATTCTCCTTCCATATCTTTCCTCTGGTGTTTGTATTTTGTTGGGTTTCTTTTTTTTCTCACTTCATTTCTTTGATGTGTTGGTGGCCTTGTGGAAAATCCATGTTTTCCTTTGAGTCTCTGCCTATGGTTGTCATGGGATTTTGAGGGGTCTCTGGACATTGGTGGTCAGGGTTCTTTGGTTCACTTTCCAGCCTCAGTTCTTAAACTGGGGGCTTTGTGCTCAGCCAGGCTCCATCTCCTGCTCTGTTTGGGGGGTTGTCAGGCTTGACCTGGATCCCCAGGATCCCTTTACTGAGCCGCATTTCTCAGGGCTGTAATCACTTGCCCCCCATCTCCCATTCCAGCAGACTCCAACGTCTAGTTCTTTGTCCTTCAGACACCTGCTTGCTGCCCCTCTGCGGGGTTTCCAGATCCTATGCTGTGGTTTTCTACCCACCCCAAGTTTTTCTCAGGAAACCCTCAGGTCTTCCTTTCTTCAGACACTGTGTCCTACAAGCTTTGAGAGGCTGCTAGCTTTTTTGCCTTAGTATGGTGCTGCCTTTGCCATCAAAAACGCCCTCTGCTACAGAAGCCTCAGGTTTCTGGTTGACTTTGTGGTGTTCTGAGGTGGAAGAAGTCGCTATACTTTCGGTTTGGGTTTCCCAATCGTTAATTGGCCTGTTTAGGATGTAGATGGTTTTGCTCTTATATGTGGTGGGTAGCTGGTTTTCCTGCCTACTTTCAGGCAGCCACCTTGCCCAGAAAGTCTCCATTTGATAGTGTTTCTCAGCCTTCCCTTTCCCCTCTTCCTCTTCCACTTCCTTGACTGTGGAAGGGGACTCTGGTCCAGATCACAGACCGAGGAAGCCTGTTTCCACTTCTTCAGGGCATGGGCCACCATTCTCTTTGCTTCTTTTACCTGAAAGTTCCCTTTAATCTAGAAAAAATCATTAGAAATGCTCGATCACTTAGGCTCTTGACTGTCCATCCGTCCTAACGATCACTACATCCTCGAGATTTCGTGTATCTTTCAGGGCCAAGAGCCTAGAACCTGGCTGTGTCATCAGCATCATGGTGGTGGTACTGGTGGTGATAATAGTAGTAACAACAATAAAAATAGCTAACATTTATATAGCGCCTTCTGTGTTCCAGCACTGTGCTAAGTGCTTTGTAAATATCTCTTTGGCTCTCACAACAACCTTGGGAGGTAGGTGCTATTATTATCATCCCTATTTTACAGATGAAGAAACGAAGGCAGAGGTTAAGTGACTTGCTCGGGGTCACGCAGCTCCTATGTGTCTTAGGGCCTGATTTGAACTTGGATCTTCTTATTCTATGCACCACCTGTATGACCTTAAAGCAAATCTATTCTTTCTCATTTGTAAAATGAAGGGGGTTGGGCTGGGTAACCTCTGAGGGTCTCTTGCAGCTCTCAAGTCTGTGATTCTGGTCTCTCTGAGATCTGGCTTGGTGGAGGGAGATCCCACACTGAGAGTTCCCTGTGCTGAGAAAAGTCATACATACTCATGAATGTCGGCTCTGTGTGCCAGGCACCGGGGATGTTCCTAGCAGTGACATCCTCCCACCTTCATCTTTTTATGCTCCTGCAAATCCAAGGACAGGCGTCAGGGAGGGGCCGAGTTCTGTGGGGTCACGGACTTTCTTGAGGGCCGGAATCAGCCCTCAGCTGGTCCCCCTGGGAAGAAGCTGTCATTTACAGAACTTGGAGGTGTTCCCTGGAGGTATCCTCTGTCACTTCACCATTGGGTCATGTGTTGCCTCCCACCCCCACCATTCATTAGAACCTCAGGACCTTGAGGGTGAGGACTGTGGGTTTTCCCCCTTTCTTTCTCTCAGCAGTACATGGCATGGTGCACAGCCTGGCACATAGTTGACCCTTATACCATGCTCGTTGACTCACTAAGAAATACTTTATGTTCCCACAGGCCCCTGAAGTCATCATGTCCCAACACTATGATGCCAAAGCTGATCTGTGGAGTATAGGGACAATCATCTACCAGTGTCTGACAGGCAAGGCCCCCTTCCAGGTGAGTACTTAGGGGAGGAAGCCCTTTTAGGGACCTTGAGCCACTCCTAACCAGGAAAAGGGAAGTCCCTTGACTGGGTCATCCTTTTTTGTGTATGGTTTTTTTTTAATAAATCAAAACCTGCTTTTTTCTTGCCCTCTATTTTCCTCCCTCCCTCCCCAGTTAGAGGTAAAAAAAACTCTTGTAGCTAATATTCCTCATAGTCACTTAAAACAAGCTCCCATCCAAAAGTCCCATCTCCTTCTTGACCCTGAGGCCGTCACCTCTATCAGGAGATGGGTGGCGTGAAATCAGGAGTTCTCTGACGTGGTCAGTCATCGCTGTCTGTGAGTTATTTGTCTTTACGATGGTGATGTAACTTTGTAAATCATTCTCCTGGTTCTGCTTACTTCACCCTGGCTCAGTTCCACGAAAGCCTCTCTAAGCTTCTCTTGAACCATCTTTTTCATGTTTTTTTGCTTTGTTTTGGGGTGGGTGGGGGGCAATTGGAGTTAAGTGATGTGCCCAGGGTCACATAGCTGGTGTCAAGTGTTTGGTCTGAGGCTGGATTTGAACGCAGGTCCTTCTGACTTCAAGGCTGGTGCTCTACCCACTGCAAACCCTTTTCATGTTTTCTTTGAAAACAGGCCCTCTTTATCATATTTACATGCCATAACTGAACTCTTCTCCAATTGATGAGCAGCCCCTTAGTTTCCAGTTCTTTGCCACCACAAAAAGTACTGTAATTATTTTTGTATGTCCTTTTCTTTTTTTGATGTCTTTGGGATCTAGGCCTAGCGGTGGTAGAGCTGGGTCAGGGCATATGCATATGCACACTGTAGGAAGTTAAGGAGCATGATTTCCAAATTATGCTCTAGAATGGCTCCACCAGCAGTCTGGATTTTGTTTTGTTTTTAATGGGAGTTCAGTTTTTATTTTATAGCCTTGTTAAATGTGTATGCTATCATTTGGCAAGATTCATTAGATTTATGATCTGTTACATTTACAGTACCAACTTAGACTTTAAGGGTGGAGTCTCATGCCTAGGTATCCAGTCCCACATCAGCAACGTGCATGTTTTCATGTAGCCCCTCCAGCACCAGCATGTCATTTTCCTTTTTTTTGGGGGGGGTAAAGTGACTTGCCCAGGATCACACAGCTAGTAAGTGTCAGTGAGGTCGGATTTGAACTCAAGTCCTTCTGACTCCAAAGGCCAGAGCTCTGTCCACTGCGCCACCTAGCTGCCCCCATTTTCCTTTTTTTGGTCAACTTTCTGGATGCTTCTGGTCCCATCAAGCAAAAAATCTTGGGGTGTTAAAGGCCGCCCTCAGTTTCTAAGCACTTCATCTCTGCTGTGGAGGAAAGAAGGACCTAGTAGACTCCGTTAGTAGTCATGACGGTATAAGGGGCAGCTCAGACCCGAGCCAGCAGAAGAACCCTCTGCTGAACATCCTGCTCCAGCCTTGTAGACCCTGATAAGGAACCGCTACATCCTAAGTCAGCCCATTCCATTTGAGAGTGTGGGTCCAGGTGGGGAGTGGGTGGAGACAGCTACCCTGGTGTAAATGACCTCAGACACAGCCCTTTGGAAGTCTGCCCGATGTGCCAGTTATTAATATTATTATCTGGTGTTTTTCCCTCTTCCAGGCCAGCAGTCCACAGGATCTACGACTGTTCTATGAGAAGAATAAGACACTGTTGCCCAGGTGAGAGTTTCCCTTGGTAGCCCCAGCCCTTAAATCACCTTCCCCATTTTCCCCCCATCCCCAGGATAACCCAGACCTCAGTTGTTGCCTTTAGTGCCAGCTGAGGCCTGAGAGATGATCTAATCCAGTTCTCTTGTTTTACAAAGTAGGGGAGGGGACACTGAGGTGCAGAGAGGTCACCCAGGTCCTGGGTTAAAGGCCCTTTCATTTGAAACTGAGTCCTGGAGGGAGGTTTTTATGACTTTTCTGAGGTTCTGCGTGGACTGATTGTCCATGATGGGATTTGAACCCAAATCCCCTTTGCTCCATGCCCTGCACTCTGTCAACATCCAGGGCAGAGCCAAGTTCCCAGTGTTGGTACTCTGTGTTCCCTGGCATCACGCTCGCTCCAACCTTTGTAGGCTGACCAACGTGGCTCAGGGCAGAGGCGTCCGACACGTGGCTCCATGTAGCCCAAGCCAGGTTAAGATGCAGCTGGTAAATGTTTAACAGAGCAGATGAAAATACATAGATGTTAACAGTAATACACAGTTTTCTAAATCAGTATGGAGCCTGCAGGGATGCTTCGGTATGGATTCATGGTTCCTCTTTCTGTTAGTTTGACACCATTGGCCTAGTTCAGAGAGTTCTCGGCCTGTGAATCAAGGAGACCTGGGTTCAGAGATTGATTGTGGGCAAGTCATGTGACTTCTTTGACCCTCATTCAGTTTCTCCTTCTGTAAAATGGGGGTGATGATAATAGTCCCTATTCCTTGGGGTTGCTGTTAAGCATTTAACTTACATTAAAGTGTTATAGATAGTTAGATATAGATACAGATAAATGTAGCTATTATATATGTATGTGTACGTGTGTATATGTATATAATATAAATATTAGAGAAAGAGAGAGACATCTACATCCCAAGGTTGTTGGGCCTGTAGGTGCCCCTGATGGACAGACGGCCAGGTCTGCAATCAGAAGACTCATCCTCCTGAGTTCAAATCTGGCCTCGAACACTTACCTAGCTGTGTGACTCTGGACAAGTCACTTCATCCTGTTTGCCTCCGTGCCCTCATCTGTAAAATGAGCTGGAGAAGGAAATGGCAAACCACATTGGTATCTCCACCAAGAAAACCCCGAATGGGATCGTGAGTCAGACATGACTGAAACAACTGATGGCTGTCTCATATGTGTATACATACATACATACATACATACATACACATACATATATACACCCACACATATATACATTTTATACAATTATACATTTTTTTGAGTTGACATATTTTTGTTTCTCTGTACACTCAGCATCCCCAGGGAGACATCCAGCCACCTGAGACAGCTGCTTCTGGGCCTTCTTCAGCGGAACCACAAAGATCGGATGGACTTTGGTAAGTGGCAGAGCAGCCCCAGGTTTCCGGAGAGGAGGCTAACAGGGCCTCAGTCTGTTTATTCCTCTTGTAGACTGATTTCCCAGTTGGTGGGGCGAAGGTGTTGTGGAAATGCTTCCAATTACATACTTATGAACTAGAACATAAAGGATGCTCTGTACAGGTTTTTGAAAGCCTCCACTGCTGCCAAAGATACGCATACGTACGTACACACACACACACACACACACACACACACACACACACACCCCCCTTCATGCCCCCAGCACACCTTGCTTATCACTGGTGCACGGAACCAGTAGATGATTTATTCCCCAGGACTTTGTCCTTTCTGTTTTTGTAGGTGGGGTGGGGCATCAGATGAGGGAGGGCGAGCTTGATTTCCAGGCTAGAGGGTGTTGCAGTGTCCTAGGCACTTGGTCCAGTCTTGGATTTATTGGAGGCTCTGGACAAGCCCTTAATTCCTGGACAGGTGGGTAGATTTATAATTAGAGGTCATTCGGTTCAGTCTTTTTATTTTATTTTATTAAGTACTCGCCCTCTGCAGATAAGGGCACAAAGATGAAAATGAAATGATGATAGTGGTGATGTTTATGATGCTTTGAGGTTTCCAAAGCACTCTGTCATCATTGTCATCACAGCTAACATTTATATAACACCATGTGCCAGGCGCTGTGCTAAATGCTTCACAGTGAACTCATTTGGTCCTCGCAGCAACTCTGGGAGGTAGGTGCTATTATTGTACCCATTTTACAGATGAGAAAACTGAGGTAGACAGGTGAAGTGACTTGTCCAGGGTGACTCATCTATTACCTGCCCTAGGCTAAATTTGAACTCGGGTCTTTCTGACTCCAGGCCCAGCATTCTGTTCACTGTGGTGCCACCTAACTGCCTCATATTCACACATAGCTAATTTTATCCTCAAAACAATCCTGGGAGATAGGGGCTTTTATTATTCCTCAGTTTCTCAGGAAACTGAGGCACATAGCAACTGCTTTGCCCAGGGTCATACTACTAGGTCATGTCTACAGCTGGATTTGAACTCCGGTCTTCCCAATTCCAAGACTAGGACTCTCTGTGTTGCACCACTTAGCTGTGCTGAAGGCAGAAGACAAAGGGAGGGGGGCTGTGCATTTGCTTCAGTTGTGGAGGACTTTCTCTTAACTCTGCCCCATGGCGTGCTGGAGTGGAAGGCAGTTTTATGGTCAGCCTGAGGTTCTTTGAATTTGTTTATTAACTGGCATCTATAGGTTTGTAAATGCTCCTTTGAACCTCACAACAACCCCTCTAAGTGGTATAGGAATTATCTCCCATTTTGCAGATGAGGGCACTGAGGCAGAGAAGGAGTCATGCAGTTAACACAAGTGTCTGAGGAAGGATTCACACACACAGGCCTCCCTGACTCTGAAGTCCAGTGTACTGTCCTCATAATACCTAACTTCACTGTGTGTGATACAGGGTAAAATGGGTAGAATAGTTGTGCACTTTTTATATAATTCTTAAGGCCTTAGTATTCTGATCAGTGCAACAATCTGAGACACTTCAGAAGAATTTAGAATGGATGCTCTTCACCTCAGAGGACTGATGGGTGTCGGCAGACCAAAGCATAACTTGTTTTACTTTGTTTCTTGCTTTGTCTTTGCAACATGGCTAATATGGACATAGGTTTTTCCTGATTTCAAATGAATGATTGATATTACGTTTCTTGCCTTCTCAGCAGGTGGGAGAGGGACAGGCAGGCAGGAGGGGAGAGAATTCAAAATTCAATTTTTAGAGAAGGATCCTAAAATAAATATTTTATTTAAAAAACAAGGCCAAAAAAAAAAAAGATCCTTAAAGCCTTAGAGTGTTGGGAGCTGTAACCTAGACTAGACTTTTCCTCCTCTTTCGTTTACCTTGCTGGTCATTGGCTCTGCTTCCTTCTCTCTGCATCAGTTCCTGTAAGTGTCCCTGGAGCTCCTTGCTTCACAGTTCCTGGTCCAGTAATACTCATATTCATGGGGATCGCTGGTCATCTGCTTTGTCCCTAGTTCTGGCCTCTGCAAAAAGTGCTGCTGCAAATACAATCTGTGGGAACATTCTTTGTCTCTCGGACCTCTTCTGAGTGAGACTTCCACACCCACACCTACACCCCACCCTGCTCCATTAAGAATGCAGTGAGGTCTGAAAGAAATTAGACGGCCATAGAGTCCAGCCCCCTGTTGTTTTTTTCAGATGAGCAAACTGAAACCTTAGAGGACGTGCACAAAGTCAAAGAACTAGTAAAGTGGCTGAGGCATGATTCGAACCTCGGTCTTCCTGATTCCAAGTCCAGAGTTCTATCCTCTGGGCCTTCCTTCTTGTGAAATATGTAACTTGGGGCGTGGAGATACAGTGGGGGCCTACCTGCGCCTGGCTTTCCTTGGCCTTCTTGTTTCCTGAACTCTGCTTTCTTTCCTCATTTAGATGAATTTTTCCATCACCCTTTCTTGGATGCAAGCTCCTCCATCAAGAAATGTGAGTGAAGGGACCCCCCCACCCGCCATTACTCCTTCCCCCTCTGTCCCAGGGCCTTGGGGCCAAGGGTGCCTGGGAGTGAGATCAGTGGTGACGCCTGCTCTCTCTCTCTGCAGCTCCCCCAGTGCCCATGCCCTCGTACCCCAGCTCAGGCAGTTCTTCCAGCAGCAGCTCTACCTCCCACCTGGCATCGCCTCCTGTGAGTATCCTCCCAGACAGGATCAGTCAGTCCACAAGCATGTGCTGGGCCCAGGGGAGACAAAGGGAGGGTGGATGTCCAAGGTGAAGGGGCTGGTGTTTTCTCCTATTGAAGCTTGCCCACCACGCCTACTGCTCCATCCTCCGAAGGAGAGTAGGGTTATTGTGGAAGCGCATCCTTTTGGAGAACCTGGGCCTGAGGCTGGGCAGGGTTTGGGAGATCCAGTGAGCTCCCTTGACTTTGCAGATGGCGGCTGTCATTGGCCCGCTGACACAGTGAATTCATGGCAGATCTGGGACTATAACCCCTAAGTCTTCTGACCCCTGTCCAAGGTGCCCCAGTACTCTGGGTGCACAGGAAAAATTAATCATTAGATAGAGAGCTAGCTGTGACCTTCATGAGGTCATCTGGGCCACGTCTGCTTTCATTGCCTTAGATGAGAGTAGAGTAATTCTCTGCTTCAGAAAGCTGGTTAAGGTGAAGGGGATGTGTTCTGTGCCTGCCCTCTCTCCTCTCCCTTCCTTCCTCTGTTCCCCTTCCCCTCCTCACCAGCTGCTTTCCCCCCCTTCCCTCTTGCGTGGAGCAGTCCCTCGGGGAGATGCAGCAGCAGCTGCAGAAGACGCTGACCTCCCCAGCCCCGGATCCTGGAGGCTTCCTTCAGGGCTCCAAGGACTCGGGTGGCAGCAGCAAGAACTCTTCCTGTGACACAGACGACTTCGTCATGGTCCCTGCCCAGTTCCCAAGTAAGAATTGCTGTGAAAGATTGTGGGGGTGGCCATGGAGAGAAGTTCCTAGAGCTGTCTGGGTGCTCTTCCCTAGGCCATATGACTGTCTGTGTGGTTCTCCATGCCCTGTCTCTGCCTCTGATGGGTGCAGAGGTTCTAGCTTTCTGGATTTGCCAGTGGGCTCCTGTTGCTTTTCACCCTCCCCTCTAATACAAGGCAGAGAAGCCATGCAGGCCAGAGGTGTGATTGATAGCAAAAGGCCCATGTGAGCCCAACCCTAGATCACAGGATCACATTATTATTAATTTAGAGCTGGGAAGGATCTTAGAGGGCACGTGGTCCCATCCTAAACTCCATGGTTTTTGATCCCCAAATTCAAGGCGCCTGGTTTAATCACGTGGGGCCTGCTGAGTCATGGAATAATCATAACAATGGCATTTATGTGGTGCTTTATAGCTATCACATCCTTTGATCCTCACAACCACCCTGGGAAGGGAGGTGGTGTTATTATTCCCATTTTACAGATGAGGAAGCTGAGGCCGAGAGTGCCCCCAGGGTCACAAGGTGTTCAAGGCTGAATTTGAACTCTGACCTAGGTCAGGAGGCTCTAGGGTTCTTTGAGGGGCTAGATATGCCTCTAGAGCTGGAAGGCACCCCAGGCATCATCTAATCCGACCCCCTCATTTCACAGATAAGCACTCTGAGGCCCAGAGAGGTTAGTGTGGTCAGAGGCAGAACTGAGATAGGAACCCAGGTTTTTGGATTTCTCCTGGTGCCCCAAGAACGACACGTGTATGTGTATGTGGGTTGGTACCAGCAGGGGTGGGGCATGTTAGGACATGGGGGTCACAGAGGTTGGGGTAGGCTTGAATGCCCTGCTAAGGAGTTTAGACTCCTAGAGGCAGGGAGGTTGCCTAGAGGACTCAAGAGGACAACAGGGGTCGGGATGGTCTTTAGGAATCTCAATCCAGTTATGTTCCAGGCTACTGTGGTGGGGTATATTGGGGGTACAGGTGGAGAACGATGCCTGGTCCTCGTATCACTGAATGAACTTATCTCTTTCTCCCTGAACTCAGCTGACTTGACAGGGGAAGCCGCAGGAGCCAAGGCCACTCAGGACAGTCTGATGTACAGTGGGTAAGGTCCCCTCCCCCCTCCTGACATGGACTTCCCCTGGCCCACCCCTGCCATTCCCTCTGATACCTCAGAGATCATCAAATCCAACCCAGCCCTAAACAGGCATCCCCATTTACAGGGGGTCTAGCCCCTGCTTGAAGCCCTTCAGCAGGCGTGTCCCCCACTGTCCCTCCAACCGGCCCTTTCTAATCGTGGACGGCTTTCCTTTTTGGGAAGCCCAAGTCTGCCTCCTGCCTCCCATCCCGCTGCTCCTCCAAGGATGCCTTGAAAGCTCTTCATGCCGTCTTTATTTGTGCTTCATGACAAGGCACAGGGATTTTTTAAATGAAGTACAGAGAGGGGAGGGGACCAAAACAGGGAGATGAGAACCCAGGTGTCCCCACTCTCAGGAAGGCCAGTGTACTCTCTATCTTAGCTCATTTGCCAAGTTGCAGCCTGTCCTTGGGAAGCTGAGAAGAGAGAGAGGGTCTTGACAGCCTGGTGTGTCTCCACTGAAGGCTTATTGTCTTTCCAGGAGCTCCCTGGTAACTTCAGCTGGGCTGGAGAGCCAGGGACGGACGCCGTCTCCCTCACCCCCCTACAGTGGTTCCCCCAGCCCCTCTGGGTAAGTAGGTTTTGGTGATGATTAGGGGACCAGGGGATTGTCCGTGGCTCAGGGTGGAGGGGGTGATAGAAAACCCGATACCCTAGGAAATCCCCCCCAGTCTGTGGGAGACTAAAACCTCCTGCCCTCAGTTAGCCCATCTCATGGTGCAGCTCTCACAGATCTTCTCATTCGGGCACACACCATGGCCATGCTGCCATCATGTCTTCCTATGGCTCCACCAGAGCGCCCTGCCCAGTGTGTGTGTGAGACTAACCTTGCTCCCAGAACAGCCAAGGAAGCCCCCGGCTCCTTGGCTAATAGAGCAGGTTTTATGCCTCTAATTGGGGTAGAGGTTGGGGGCTGGGGTTCACTCATCCTAGACGCTGCTGTGACCTCAGTGTCAGAGCCAGGAATTCCCCAAGCCCACGATGGGGGTCAGTTTATGGGAAAAGTCCCCAGGGCTCAGCCATGGAAAACCCCAGATGTGTGTGACCAAGATGAAATCCAGCTGCTGCCTGACTGCTGGAGGCTGGGCTGGAGTTAGAGCCAATAGCATATGTGAGGTCCTTTCGAGGGAGTGTCTCTGTCTGAAGAGACTTGGAGAATTGCACTCTCTAGTTGAATTTCCCAAAGGAGCCCAAACTCTGAACATGGAGGGGGCTGAGTAGGGTAGGAGAGGGAGTCTCGCTCATTCCAGCCTTTGAGCAGAGGGCGACTCCAGTCTCACAGCCTTTCTTCTCTTGCCCTTCCTTCTCTGCCACCATAGCCGACCCAGTGCTTTCTCCAGTAGCAGGTACGGCCCGTCTGTCCCCATTCCTGTCCCCACTCAGATCCAGAACTACAGGAGAATCGAACAGAACCTCCAGTCCCCCAACCAGTACACTCCGCCACCCCCACGGTGAGTGTTGGCCTTCCTTCCCCAGGCCAGGGCTGAACTTCCTGGGGCCTTTCCCAGCTCTGGGCTGTGTAGGCCAGAGATTAGTACTATCTGTTACCATTACTAGGTCGATTACTTGGGTAATAGTCATAACCATCCTTAGAACATTAAATTCAAAAGACGAGTAACAGGAGAGAGAGAAAGAAGCCTGTCCCTGTGTCTGAACCTCAGGAAAAAGATGAGACTATTCTCAGTACAGCCCTGTAGTGTAGTAGATGAGGCAAGGATTATTATACCCGTTTCATAGGTCAGGGAACTAAGGCTTATAACGGAGAAAGAGATGGTCAGGGCCATGATTTTGAGACTAGGTCTCCTAACAGAATCCAGGAGGCTTTTTCTGCATTATCCAAACAGTTAGGTAGAAGGAAGGGAATGGAAGGGAATACGCATTTATTAAGCACCTGCTGTGTGCCAGGCATTGTGCTAAAGAAAGTTTGGGGTCCTGTGGCTGAGAAGAGGAGGAGGATACAAGTAGTGCACATGAATCGATCAGCTGGGCAAGATTTTGGGGGTTTTTTTTTGGTCCTTAACTGAGGTAGGCGGGCTATGAATATGAAGTACGGAACTTAGTCATGGGTGAGTAGAGGGGCCCCTCGGTCCACTGCCCCACTTCCTCTTTGAGGCTGCCTTTCTCCCCAGTCTGCAGGGCAGCTTCCTTGGGGAGAAAAGGCCAAAGATCATACATTTAGAGATGGAAGGACCTCTCTTTTTACCAAGGAGGAAACCGAGGTGAAATGGGACTTCTTGTCTATTCTCACCCCCATTTTACAAATGGGAAAACTGAGGTCCATGGCCACTAAGTGACTTACCCTAGGTTAGCTGGTAAACATCAGTGGTCAATGATCATCAAAGCAAAGATTTGAACCCCCACCCTCAGGCTCCCAGGCCTGTGCTTTTTTCCCCACTGTATCACAGTGCTTTTTCTCTGAAGTCTTAGCTCTCCGTCTCCCTGGGGTGGGCTAGCCTAGAGGCTGGAGAAAGGACCCCTCACTTCTTTTATTCATTAAGTATTCAAATCCTTTATCTAAGGCTGGGCCCTTGGGGGAAGGATAGAAAAATAAAAATGAAGCAGGCCCTGCCCTTAAGGAGTTTGTTTTCTCTGGGAAGAAACATTAATCAATCAGTCAACTTTTACTAAGCATCTGTCTGGCTCTGGGCTAGATAATGGGGAGACTACAAGAGGTAAAAGATAAAAGCTGCGCTCAAGAAGCTTCCAGTCTAATGTAAGCTAATCTATACAAAGCCAGTTACTTACTAGAAAAATGTAGGCCAAGGCACCAGCATTGAAGGGACCTCAGGAAAGGCTTCCAGTAGAAGGTGAGAGTTGGAAGGATCTTTGCAGTGGGATCCTCAGCAGCCTGGGCACTCAGGACCTTCTCTTCCTCTTCCCCTGAGGGCCTGATCGCTCAAATGCCACGCTGGGGGCAAGATTACATGAACAGGGGCCACGGTAGGGCACGGGTCTTACTGCCCCTCTGTCCCCCCAGGTCTGGCATGGTTCGGAGGTCCAGCAGTACTAGCCCCCTGGGCTTTAAGACTGGCATCTCCCCCCCGTGTTTCCCTGAGCATGGAGCCACCTTTCCCAGGAAGTCTTCTTTGGGAGGTGCCAAGCCATATAACCCATCTCCCCAAGGTGAGTGCCCCTCCCCTTTCTGCTGTAACTTTAGACCCTGCTCGATCTCATAGATTAGATGCTCCCAGCCCTGTCAGTGCTGTCTCCACCTGCCTGTGTGTCTTTTCCTATGGGCAGAGACCTGTCTTGGGCATTCTGATACAGTTGCACACGGTCCCTGGACCTCAGAGCCTGGTTGGGAGTATATAATGCGAGACTGAGGAAGGAAGGGTGGTAGATGGTATAGTCTGGTGGATGGAGCATAGTCAAGAAGGATTCCCTTGAAAGGAGGGGAGTGTGGGACCAAGTTTCAAGTACGAGACACCTGGATTAGTGGAGACTAGGGGGAGAACAATGTGCTCCAGGTTAGATAGAAGCTGTTTGTGCCCTGAGTGACTGGCTTCGCCCCAGATCCTAGGGGTCCTGAGACCTCATTGGTGGATTTTTTAAAGCCCCATTAGAGGTTCAGGAGTTTGCCAGGACTGGGAGACTGTCAGGCTGGGGGTGTCTCAGTTTCCCCCTCCTGCTAGGACTCTGATTCTTTTATCACTGTAACAGCTGGAGCCGTCCCAGAGCGTCCAGGCCAGAGCGGGGTCCCCTCCCCACAAGGCACTGAGATGTGTGGAGTTGGCAGCGGTGGCAGCAGGGTCTCCCGACCTGGTATGTTTCAAGGGGGTGTGTCGACTCTGAAGCCCCTATCCCTGGGGTGGGGAGATGCGGACCCTCTTTGTGGATTGCCCCTCATTTAAAGAGTCCACTATTGGAAGGCCCCAGTCTGTCCTTAGGAAGTGGCACTATAAGGCCTCAGCAGCCCTAGAGAAATTTATAGCTACTTGGCAGAGCAGATACTGTCATTCCAGAGAAGCATGGTGTTTGATCCTGGGATTCTTAACCTTGTTGGTGTCCTGGACTCTCTGACAGTCTGAAGCCTCGGGATCCCACCCTTCTCAGAACCATGTTTTAAATCCATAAAATAAGAGGATTACAAAGGAAACCAGACATACTGTTATCCAAGGTGGTTTTTTTTTTACATTTAATGATTTATTTTTTATATATTTTATTTTTCCCCCAATTACATGTAAAAACAATCTTTAACATTCTTTTAAAATTTTCAGTGCCATATTCTATCTTCCCTTCCTGAGAAAGCAATCGGATATAGGTTATACACGTGCAGTCATGTAAAACATGTAAAACGTTTCCAAATTAGTCATTTTGTACAAGAAAACTAAAAAAAAAGTAAGTGAAAAAATGGTGTGCTTTGGTCTGCATTCAGACGACATCGGTTCTTTCTCTGGAGACTGAGAGTATTTTTCATCAGGAGTTCTGATCATTGCGTTGCTAGCATAGTCATTAACTGCTGATCATCATACATTAATGCTGTTAGTACGTACAACGTTGTTCTGATCCCACTCCCTTCTCTCTGCATCAGTTCACGTGAGGTTTTTCTGAAATCATTCTGTTTGCCATCTCTTTATCCAAGCATGTTTTAAGAGTTCACAGATGACAGATAAAGAACCCCTGGTCTAACAGCTGACACTTTACAAAGTGCTTTACACATAGTAGGACCACAGTTTTAGATTTGGAAGGAATCCTCTTGATTTACATTTGAGACCCAAGAGGTCAAGCAGCCCAAGGTGGCACGGGTGATGAGCATTGAGGATGGGATTTGAAACCAGGTTCTCTGACTCCAGAACCAAGATCTTTTTCCATCACTTCTCTGTTTCGTTATGCCTTCACAGGCAGTACTGCTATTAACCAGGGATCTCATTGCTGGAAGGGATGTCTGAGGTCTTCACGTAAACAGAGAAAGCTCACAGACACATAACACTCACTAGCTGTGTGATTCTCGGCAAGTCACTTAACCCCAGTTGCTTCACCAAAAAAAAAAAAAAGCTACCACCATCTCCCTCTAAAATAAAATGTTTCTAGTTCCTTCGATGGACCTTCACAGGGAACGTAAAGTCCTGGGTGCCCTCTCGGTTGCTCGGTGTCCAGGGTCCCCTCCCATATGTTCAGTGCCCATCAGGACGCTCAGCACTCTGGGTGTCTGCCCGGTTGCTCTTGAGGTTGTCAATAGCCTTTCTAAAATGTGGCACCCAGAACTGGGTACATGGCTGCACCAAAGCTGTTCTAACCAAGACTGAGTACAATGGGACTGTGACCACCCTGGCCTTGGACTTAACATTAAAAGGCCTAGGATTTAAGAAGGCCCCAAAGGACTGGGCTGTGATCCTTGACAGTAGGATGAAGACTTTAATTTCAGTGTGAAAATTAAAACATCAGTTTGGCTTTACTTGTATTTAATGTGCATTTGCACAGATAGAAGAATGACAATATTTATTATCAAATCTCCTCATCACTTGACACATCTGATGATGCAGTCTAAGGTTGCATCAGCTTTCTTGCTTCTCCTAAACGTTTTTTCAAGTCTGTGCCCCTTGACTCCACCCATTCCTTTGTGTGCTTTGGGAAGCTGTGTCTCTTATTTTAGCCCAGCTCTCTGACCTGGCATGATCTCATTCTGTCTGTTGATGTTAACTTTCCTTCTCATTTTTGCAGATAGGGAAACTGAGGCCCAGGGTCTCATAGATAGTAAGCAGTGCTCAAACTCAGGTCTTAGGATTCTGGATTCTTTTGCAGTGGTGGGGTGGGGATCTTCCCCAGCCATACCAAGGAATGAAGGAGAGATTGGAGTTAAAATGAGTTTAGCTAGGGAAGGGTTCTTGGAGAAGCAGTCCTTCCTTGCGGAGTCTGAAGCCATATTTTTCTGTCCCTCAGGCACCTCTCTCCCAGACCATTCTCCCAGGGGGCTGGGCTACCGTCTGCACAGCGCCCCCAACCTCTCTGACCTGCACGCGGTGAGGCCCAAACTGCCTAAGCCGCCCACAGACCCTCTGGTGGCCCCCTTTGCTTACCCCCAGGCCAGTCCTCCCCAGCAGCACTATGGGCTGCAGCCCTGTCGGACCCTGAGGGCATCCCCGAAGCTGCCCGACTTCATGCAGCGGAACCCCCTGCCCCCCATCATGGGCTCTCCCACCAAGGTAACCGGATGTTTGGGGGCAGTCTGAGGCTGGATCTTGGACTCGGGGTATAAATAAGGGAGGGTGTAACTGGTTGTTTGCCATCCTTGGGGTGACAAGGTCAGGAAGCCCCTTCAGTGGCAGGGTTGGGGGGAGACAAAGTGGAGGCTAGGGTTTCAGGGTGCCAGGGTAGCAATGGTTGGGAGGATGAATTGGAAGACAGGGATGGGAAGACCCACAACCTCAACATTGCCATGTCCCCATCTAGGCTGTACCTGCTTTTGAGTTCCCCAAGACACCGAGTTCCCAGAACCTGCTTGCTCTTCTGGCCCATCAAGGGGTAGTGGTGACCCCCACACGGAACAGGACTCTGCCTGACCTCCGAGAGATGGGCCACTTCCAGAGCCCGCCCAGCCTGGGCTTGAGACCCGTGGAAGAGATCAAAGGACCCTTTGGCAGGTGAGGGAGCTGTGGAAGGGTGAAACTAGACCACTAGGGAAGGCCCTGGTAGCCCCCTGGCAGGAGTTGGAACAGGGGCTGGCACTCCGGCATCTTTTACAGATTTCACCTCTTGCCTCTGAGCTCCTCCCTCTTTGGATACATATCTATCCACGTGTGTATTTAACTTTTCCCTTGTCAAGGTGCTTCCACTTACTGGCTGCTCAGCCCTGGGGTATCAGAGCCCACGACTGAATTCTGGCCTTGATTCTGCCACTAATGGCCTGTGTGACTTCCCTATTCTGGGCCTCACTTTCCTCCTCTGTAAAATAAGACAAAGATTGGACCAGGTGGACTTAATAAGGTCCTGTTCACTTCCCTTCTGGGCCTTAGTTTCTCCGTCTATAAAACAAGGTGGTTAGATCTTAGATTCTCTTAAAGTATCTCCTAGTTCTGACTCGACGTAACTGATTAGTGGAGAGTCCAGAGCAAGTCATAGGCATGCAGTCTCTACCTGGCCCTGTCCTAGGTACTGAAGGGGAGAGCTCAGGGGTCTAGCAGAGACCTAAGCATTGAACCAGTATAGGACAGCGTGTGGTCACGCATTAAGTGGTGTTGCTGTACGCTAATTGGAAGTTGAGGTTAGAAGAGGGGGAGCAGGGAGGCTTTCTTTGATGGGAGTAGTTACTGATACCCAGAGTGGTCATTGAAACCAACAGCTGATTTCTGAGTTGGTAGAGAAGGGGGCTTGTGGAAGGCTGGGCCAGGGCCAGTTACAGAACAAGACTAGGTCTCTCTGGAGAGGTTAGAAGAGACAGTGGAGAAATCTGGCCTGCTGTGGATCTCAGGACCTGCTGGGATCCCCTGCCCTGAAGCTAGAGACCCTGGCCCCAGAACTGGGGCTAGCCTGTATCATGGTGAATGTTAGAGTGGTATCAGAGGGACTGAAATAACTTGATCCTCCCCTGGCATGGTCCCTGGCTCTCCATCACCTGGGTTGCTGTCCCCACAGGTCCCTCAGCACTGGCCGTCTCACTGACCTGCTCCTCAAAGCTGCATTTGGGTCCCAGGCCCCTGATACAGGGAGCAGTGAAAGCCTTCAGGAGAAGCCCATGGAGATAGGTGAGGAGGGCTGCAACGGGGCTGCCTACACTGTGTATGAAAATCAGAGGAGTACCCGGGGGTGCCTCAGAGGCAGCAGAGTATGATAAAAGGAGGATGAGGTCTGGAGTCACTTGCCCTCTAAAATGAGAGGTGTTTGATCTGGGAAGCCTCTGATGCCCCTCTCAGCTCTAGATTTCTGATTGTGTGGTCTGACATTACATATGTGAACTGCGTCACATCTCTTACCCTTTACTGGCCTGTTTCCCCATCTGTGGAAAGAGGGATTTGAATCAGGAAGCTTCTGGGGTCCCATTCAAATCCAAATCTGCCTACGTGACCTTGGGCATGTGTCTTGGGCCTCACTTTCCTTTTAAGTCTGATCCCCAGGGAGAGGGGAAACTGAGGCAGATGTCTAATAGTGAGATGGAGCTCAGTGAGCTTGGAGGAAGTGGGTCCTGAGTGGAGTTTTGAAAGAGATGAGGGTCAGTTGGGGAAGAGTTTATTTTGTTCCTGCTGGAGAGAAACTTTAGCCGTAGTTGTTGAGGAAGACCCTCAGCCAGGGAGGGGTATATTATGTCTGTGGTTGACATTGTTCTGGGACCTGGTTTATACCTACCTGTACTTCTTCTCTCTCCCTCAGCTCCCTCTGCTGGATATGGAGGGAACCTGCTCCCAGGGGCTAGGGCCGGGGGCTCTTCCAGCCCTTCCCCTGTCATCTTCACAGTGGGCTCCCCTCCCAGTGGCACAACCCCACCCCAGATCCCTCGGACCCGGATGTTCTCAGGTAAGGGTGCTCTCTGCAGCCCATCTCTCTGATACTCAGGCTTTGGGTTCTTCTGGGGCTGCTGCGACCTCTGCCGTCTTTTGTAGATGCTCCAGCCTGAGCCCCTAGGCCCACTTCAGTCTGATGTAGACCCGACCCCCATCTCCCTGGCTTGCTTGGAGTTCCCGCTCCTGTGGCTTGTAGGACTTTGGCCGAACCATGGGCCCTCATCTAAAAAATTAGGGTTGCTTCAAGTTCTCGGTGTGTGAACTAGATAGAGACAAACCAGAAAAGTAATCCCTGGCCTCAGTGAGTTTATAGTCTTCTGTGGGGTTTACAGCGTATGAAGAGATAAGCTTAGGTATGAACATTTGAAAAGGCTTCCTGCAGGCATTGCCTTGAGCTCAGCCTTGGAGGGAGCTGAAATATGGAGGGGAGGAAACAAGCACTTATTAAGCTCCTACTGTGTGCTGTAGGACTGTGTAAAGTAGCGCTGTGTTAAGCACTTTATCTCACTTGGTAGCTGGAAGCAGAGGTGGGGAGGTGGTGGGAGATGAGCCCCAGTCACATAGCCAGCAGCACGTTGGTTGGCATGTAGGATACGTGACAGGGAATAATGGGGCTGGCTGAATTTCTCAGAACCTGAGGTGACATCTTGATTGGCCCCCCCAGCTCTAGGAGGTTGGACGGGTAACAGAAGACTGTCGTCTCCATTTCCTTGGTGGGGAAATCAAACTTCCAAAGAGAGAAGCCAGGCCTCTAGACTCCAGCCCAGTAGCTGCTGGTTTCCTTTAGAACCAGCCGACAAGCATTTATTATTAAGGGCCTACTGTGTGCTAAGCATGGCCCTAAATTCAAGGGGTATAGAAAAGGGAGTTGGGGTGAAGATTCCTTTACCCCTCCTTCAACCCTCCCCTCTGCCCTGCCATCCCAATTACATGGAGATGGTCTGCACTTACTTAATCAAACCTATGTTTGGACATGGGGATAACACAACTTGATACTGTGGCTATAAGGAAAGCCTTTGAAACCTTGGGAAGGTCCATACAAGAGAGCCTAGCAGATTGTTACTGAATTTGGGGGTTTCATCAGAGTGGGGAGGACTTTGATGGGTTGTTAAGCCCCGTTTTAAGTGCTGGCTCAGACACTTCTCTAATCACTCATTTTTCTACTTGAAACTAACTTTTGGTGTTTTGGATCACGGGTTAGGGAATTCCCCGTGACCCCTGGTTATTCATAGACTGATTCTTTAAAGAACCTGAAGGCAGTGGTCTGGATTTAAGAAGGCCTGGTTCCAAATTCAGCCTCAGTTTCCTTATGTATAAAATGAGAGGTTTGAACTAAAAAAGCCTCTAAGGTCCCTTTCAGCTCTAGATTTATGGTTGCATGTCTGCCTCAGTTTCCTCATACGTAAAATGGAGATATGGAACAGCCTCTCCCTCCCAGGGTTGTGAGGAATGAATTATCTCAAGCACTTGGAGGGAAGAAACCTTAAAGTGCTTTTTTTAAAGAAGGTCTTCCTGACTGGAAACTCTGCTTTTCTATCCACTGGGCCATTATCATTAGCTGCTCCTTATGAGACAGGCCTTCACAAGGCAGTATGCCTGACACATTATTGGTTAAATGAAACAGGACCCATGCTGGGCCTGGTGCTGGTTCTGAACTTTTCCGAGCCCAGCGTGGTCCATTCCGCATACTGAGCACTTGCTTCCTTTCTGGACCAGTGGCTGCTAGTCATTGGTGTCTTCAAGGCTGTTCTCTCTGGCTGGCTCCAGATCCTGACCTTTGCTTTGGGATAAAGGGCTTCTCCACCCCACACCCCACCCCCCTTGCCTCTCTTTCATTCCCTTTGAGTTCCGTGGCTTAACCTCCATATCCCCTCTGGGAATGTATTATTCTCCTAGGTCCCTGCTGGCTGCCTCTCCTTCACACACATGCAGATACCCTCCGTGAGTCCACAGAATAAGTAGCAACTCTTTACCTGCCTTGCTGATGCCCAGACATGCCAGGCGAGGCGGAGCCTGTGCCCCTGCCCACTGCAAGGCACGAGTCTGTACCTGAAGCAGTGGCAGAGTTCTCCCTGCAGGCTGGGAACCTATAGCTCTTCTCCCCTCACCCCCATCTCCCCCCATCCGACCCAGGGAAAAAGGGGGCAGTGGTTTGGGGAATATGGAATATTGTGGAATATTGTAGCATGGCCCAAGCCCCCGAAGCATGAAGTAGAGGAAGGAAAGAGGGAGAAAGAAAGGAGGACCAGAAAGGAAAAGAGGGCATTTGGCAAAGAAGTTAGAAAGGGAGGGGTTGGGGCTAGTCCCCAGAGAGCTTAGAGATCTCTGCCCCATCCTTCTGTACATTCCCACATCTCCCCTAGGGGACAGAAGCCTGGTAGGATGGCCAGGAGTGGGCTGTGGGACATAGGGGAGTTCCCTGGGGAAATTTGGGGGGCCTGGAATCTTCACTGGGACAGACAGATAGGGAGAAGCAGAGAAGGGGCAGTTAAAGGCATGCGTTCCCCAAGAAGGGCTTCCTCTTCACCGGACGCCCTGTCTCCCTGCATGGCAAGAGGGGGCAATAATTTTTTCCCCAAGCCCTCTTCAGCTGCTGACAAAATCACTGGGCAGGGAAACAGGCTGACATTGTGGGGCATTGTGGGTAGCAGGAAGAGGGTATGTGTATATGTAAAGAAAGATGCCTCCAAAGATTTGTGGTCCCCACCCTTCCCCAGCTCCTTAGACTTGGTGGCCAACCCCTGTAGGTGTGTATTGGATTCCCATACTTTGGCTAGCCTCTGATTTCTTTCAGCCCCAAAGCTCAGCTCCTCCCCTCTCCCAGAGCTTTGCTTTAAGAGGACAGTCCCATGACCCGGATTCTCTGTGCCTGGCAGGGTGGGCTTAGGAATACCATTGGGCATCACTTGGGACCTCACCTGGGACTCCCTCCTCTCTCCACCAGTGGGCTCCTCCAGTTCCCAGAGCTCAGGCAGCTCCTTCAGTGGTCGCCATCTGATCCCTGGCATGGGAGGAGAGGCAGCAGAGGCCCCGGCCAATCTGCGTTGCTACGGCTTCACCGATCCCATCACTGCCAACCTGGAGGGGGCCGTGACCTTCGAGGCCCCTGACTTGCCTGAGGAGACACTTATGGAGGTGAAGGGATGGGTTAACCCTGAGAGCTTGCATGGGAGGAGTGGGTGGGTGGAGAGCTGGGGTGGGGGGGTGGAGAGGAGGAAGAGAATGAGTCACCTTGAAAAAAGAAAGGGAGGAGGGGGAGAGAAAATGCTTAATTTAGAACAAGCTGCTCTGGCTAGATTACGCCTGAAATTCTCATCTTCCCTGTCCAGCCGCATTCTCCCTGGGAGGGAGAGAGTATTTTTATCCATCCTGCCTGATCTGTCTAATCCTGTATTTGGGGGGGAGGGGAGGGAGAGAAGGGCCCCAAGGGCAATTCCCAGTGTGAGGCGAGGGCAAGATCTGCCTTCCTGGGCTTGTCTGGGATGAGTCTAGGAGTCATCCAGCCCCAGGAGCCCAGATTTCCTCCCCCTGCATCTTGCTTAACTTCATTAACAAGGGTTAGAGAGGAGCATTAGTGATAGAACCGGGTATGTTCAGCATGTCCGGCACCTCAAGCTTCCTTCACTAGTTGTTTGGGACTAGCCCAGTTATTTACTATATAACCTTGGTCAAGTGACTTTCCCAAGCTCATCCTTCCCCAGTAACATTCAGGGAAAGCCATGTAGACCTTAGTGACCAATCCCTGCAGCTGTGTGAGTGTTAGATTGCCATACTTTGGCTAGTCACTGATTTCTTTTGGTGTCTTCTGCCTGTATTCTTTTGGCCCTGCAACTCAGTTTTTTCCCTGTCCCCAAAGCCCGGCTTGTTTTATTTTATTTTATTTTTAATTTTTAAAAATTTATTTTGATTTATACATAATCATTTTCATAAGCTTTTGAGGTTTCAATTTTTCTCCTCCGACTCAACTGGTGTGCAATCTGATATATTCTATACATATACATTCTTATTAAATGTGTTTTCACATTAGGAAGAATTAGGACCGATAGGACGAACCACCAGAAAGAGGAAACAAAACAAAACAGATTTTTTAAAAAATAGCAAATATATGCTTCGATCTGCATTCAAACTTCATGGTTCTTTCCTGGCTTGCTTTAGAAGGACAGCCCTGTAGTCTGAGCCTCAGTTTCCCCCATAGGTAAAACTGAAGGTGATAACACACTTGTCTGCCTTTTAAGGCTGCTGGGAAGAAAGGCTTTATAAGCCATAAAGGGCTGTAGAAATGGGAGTTAACTCTCATCTCTCAGATTTTTAGAAGGCAAAGAACAGGAGGGAGAAGCCTGGCTAATCTTCAGTGGTCTGATTGGCCTCTGGATAACCCAGAATGAGGGGGCAGAAGTTTCTGCTTTTGAAATAATCATTCCCTGTTCCTCCAGCTTTTCTTGCCTAGCCCCCACCCACCTCCAAGGAGAGAAAGGAATCAAGTATTAAATACCTACTATGTGCAGGGATTGTGCTAGTCCCTGGACATACATGTAGCAAGGATGGTCCTATGCCAAGTGCTGGGGACAAAATAAACCCTGTCTTCAAAGAACTGACTTTTTGGGGTGGGGGGAGAATGAATGAGAACAGACACACACACACACAGTAGTTTGGGAGGGAAGAATTGGGGAAAATTTCATGTAGAAAGGGATGCTTCATACTGTTTTTTTTCTTGTGGTTTTCCCCTTTTGTTCTGATTCTTCTTTCACAACATAACCAATATGGAAATATGTTTAATATGATTGTACACGCATAGCCTATATCAGATTGCCATCTCAGGGAGTGGCGATGGGAGAGAGGAAAGAGGAAGGGAGAAAAAAGTTTGGGGACTCAAAATCTTATAAAAGTTCATGTTGAAAACTTTCTTTACATGTAATTGGAAAAAATAAAATGCTATTAAAAAAAAGGTAAGTGATGCTTCAGCCTAGGCTTGAAGGAAGCAAGGAATTTCAGAAGATGGAGGGGAGTAGCTATGGGAGTGCTCAGAATTTCCATTGGTTTCCTCACTGGGCCAGTGCTTAAGCCAAACCCCCTCTGGTTTCCATGGGGTCGTGAGTCAGAGTGGATGCTGTGGAAGGAGCCCTGTATGATATAGGATAGCACTTCGGATCTGGTGCGGGCTGAGATGTCTGAGGAAGAAGGTGAATGCTGGATGGAGGTGTTTCGGAGCTCTGGGGGTGCTTCCTCCCCCCTCCATCAGCCAACTTAGCTGGGTTCCCTGGCCCCACTCCTAAGCCCGGTCTGTCTTTTCTTCCTGCAGCAAGAGCACACAGACATCCTGCGTAGCCTCCGATTCACACTGGCCTTTGTCCACTGTGTCATGGAGATGGCCTCTGCCAAGGGCAGTGCGGGAGAGATGGGCAGCTCTGTGGCTTCCGAGTACCAGCTGCAGGAGAGCATCGTGGCCGACCAGATCAGCCTGCTGAGCAGAGAGTGGAGGTCAGAGGTCCTGGCGGGCGTAGACTGGGGCTGAGTTGAGGGCCACCCAAACGCCCAGGGGCAGGCCGTTCTCTGCTGTGCCATCTGTCCAGCCCCACCCCGACCCCACCCCCCGGGGATATGGGCAGCAGGACTTGGGTTCACTGGACACTCTGGTTCTTTCCCCTCAGTTACGCAGAACAGCTGGTGTTATATCTGAAGGTGGCTGAGCTGCTCTCCTCTGGCCTGCAGACCGCTATTGAACAGATCAAAGCTGGGAAACTCTGCTTGTCCTCCACCGTCAAACAAGGTAAGGCCGAGCCCTGCTCCCTTCCCCCATGGAAGATGTTATAGGGCAAACAGATTAGACATGGGGACGTTACAGACACACACAGACCTGCCCATGTCACCTAGTGAGCACATTCATTCATAGGATTATAGGACTGTAGGTCCAAAGCTGGAAGGGCCCTCAGAGGCCATCCACTTCAACCGGATTTCAGCCTCGAATTACAGATAAGGAAACTGAGGTGCAGGGAGATACCATCCCTTAAGGTCATACATAGAGCTGGAAGAGCCCTCAGAGGCCATCTCAAATGTGGGGCCTAAGTTCTAGGCTCACAGTTAGTAGTAAGTGTCTGAGGTGGGACACCCACAAAGAAGGGTGTGAACAGGGATCTTAACACCCAGAGGAAGGGAAGCCTCCCAGAAGTGTGTGCACAGAAAATTCCCGCACACACACAATCATAGTCATACATACATACACGTTCTTCCACATACACATTCTCTGACACACATGCACACTAAACACACACATACATGTGCACACACAATCATAGTCATACATACATACACATTCTCTCACATTCGTTCCCCTGTGCCCATGCTCCCTCCCTCCCTCCCTTCTGCAGCACAGGGCTGGGGGCCATGAGGCTCCAGCCCCCCTGGGTGGGTGGTCCTTGGGGCCGGGGGAAGGAGGTGTTCCATCCAGGGCCTGGGGCTGACCTCACCCTCTCTCCATCCTCCACTTACTGGGCTGCAGTCGTGCGGAAACTGAACGAGCTTTATAAGTCAAGTGTGTCGTCCTGCCATTGCCTGAACCTGCAGCTGCAGAAATTCTTCCTGGATAAGCAGAGGCTCATGGACCGAATCAACAGCATCACTGCTGAGAAGTTAATCTTCAACTACGCCGTGCAGATGGTACGGGGCTCCTTCCCCTCACCCCAAATCCAGGCTTCTGCCGTCCTGGCCAGGCTCCACACAAGAGGGAGAGGGAGGGGGTTTTCAATAGTTATGGGGTCCTAGATTTGTGTCCAGGTCCTCTGGCTGACCTGAGCCAGTGCACCCTTCTGCGCCCGCCGCCCCCCCACCCCCACCCCCGGTAACATACAACAAAGTATCCCAAAAGTCAGCACAGCTTAAAACTCCTAAGACTGGGAACACCCTGTGGAGTGCCTTAAGATATGCAGAGGGCATCATGGGAAGTTTGTTCTTTTACTCTCAGTCTGAAAATGTTTATTAAACCCCCACTATGTGGCTATGCCAAACCCTGCCCTCAATAGCTTATAATCTAATGAGGGAGACAACGGCTCACACCTTGAGAGAGATGGGTGCTTTTATTATCTGCAGGTTTTTGGGGAGTGTGTATGTGTTTGTCTAACTCCAGGTATAGAAAACCCTTCCCCTGGTGGAAATAAGCAACACCTGGGACTTAGTCTTAAAGAACCTGGGGCACTGAGAAGTTAGACCCATTTGCTCTGGGTCTCAGTCCGTATGTTTTGGAGGCCGGTTTTTGAGCTCACTTCTTCCCAGCTCCCAAATATGGCACTGTCCCCAGCATGCCCCACTGCCTTACTTCTCTCCCTGTGTATTGCGCTGGACCCAAGGATCCTTCTCCAGAGCCCAGAATTGCGTTCATAGAATCCTTTTAGGTCACTGGGAGCTTTGGTCCACCTTGAATAGGAATCCCCTGACATCATGCCTTAAAAGCCAGGAAGAGCTGGGTTCCAGTGTCTCCTCTGATATACTGTCACAGGGACAGGGACCCTGGGTAAGTCTCATAACTTGCAGGGGCTCAAGGCAGTTCTCTCAAGAGACTCGAGGGCCAACCTGTTTTGGTGGAGGGAGTTTTCTCCTCCAGGAATTCCCAATGCTAACATCACGGGTACCAAAATAAAAACAGACTACTCTGTAAGAGGCAGCTGTAAGACTTTTAAGATGCAGGGAAGGTGCTAACTGACCTGTATTGATAGAGGTCCAGTCTCCAGTTGTGAAGACCACCCAGTGATGGGAAGCTTCCCACCCCTTCTAGCAGCCTATTCCAGTGCATGTGATTTGAACCTGGCCTTGGTACTGGCAGGTCAATATGGAAGTCATAGGGGCGGTGAGGTGAAGGTAGAAACCCCGGCTCTGGTTCTGGAGTTTAGAGTCTAGGGAGAGGCCCTCAGGGTTCTCAGAAGGGAAGTTTGGAAGGCTCCCTGTAGGGGATGGGAGGGGAACAGTTTGGTGGAGCACATGTGAAGAGAGAGGATCTGCTCCCTGGTTCCTCACTTCTCCCCCGCCTCTCCTCTCCGTAGGTGCGTTCCGCGGCCCTGGATGAGATGTTCCATCACCGAGAGGACTGCGTGCAGCGCTACCACAAGGCCTTGCTGCTCATGGAGGGCCTCCATCAGATCCTCACGGAGCAGGCGGACATTGACAACATCAGCAAATGTGAGTTGAGCTGCACATCAAGGCTGCTCCAAGCAGAACATGGGCAAGCTATGAGAGCCATGGGATCCCACCGGCCCCACTTTGGACTGAGATGAGAACTATCCCAGAGTAGCTTTAGTGACGTGGGATTTGAACCTGGGTCTTCCTGACTCCAAGTTCAGTGCCAAGTCCACCAAGGCACACTGTCTTCCCAGGGCAATCCCTAGACCGAGGGGAAGGAAAGGCCAGGACTAGAGGTGAAGGAAGGTGAGAGCCAGGCCAGCCCTGCCCAGGTTTCTTGGAATAGATTGTATAATTAAATCTGGAAGGGACATCTGAGGTCATCTATTCCCACTCACTTCCATTTTTACGAATGATGAGAACCTCTCTGCTGACTGACTTGCGCTGAGGTCACACAAGGTGTAGTGAGTGCCTGCCACCTAACATTCTTTTTTTTCCCCTGTGACTCATCTCTCTAACCATCTCCCTTTTGGGAAACGTACCATGGTATACCTTGGGCCCTCGGTTCCCCTCCTCGCACCCTGTAGTTATTAAATGTCTCGGCGCCCCCCACCCCTTTTTCCCACCTGCTTTTTTCCCCTCATCCTGCCCAGTTGTAGAGAGTCACTGTCTTCTTTCTTCCCCGCGACCACAGGCAAGATGTGCATTGAGCGGAGACTCTCGGCCCTGCTGTCTGGCATTTGTGCCTAAGCCCCCATGCAGCTCCTCTTGCCCACCCACCACCCTTTTATGCTTCACGGGACAGCCGTCCACCCACTTGCCAACTGGGGGGCAGTTCCTGGCAGCCGTCTGGGCTGCATCACGTCTGCAGTCTCAGCCAGACGGACTTGTCAGGACAAAGGCTTTTGGATCCGTCTCCAAGAATCCACATCCCAGTTTTGGAGCCCTGTGACCTCTGCCTCCCTCCCAGGAACAGAGCAAAGGAGATTAGAAGTCACTACAGTCAGTCACCGCTGGCGCAGCCACCCCAAAAGAGGGGGAGGTGTTTCTCTCCCTGAGGGAGACCACGGAACTTCCGTCCCCACTGTCCCTTGTCCTTTGAAGAGAGTCACGCTGCTACAGAAATAACTTTTACCATTTCCAGGGGTCAGGCCCCTCCAATGCTACGTCCGTTGCAGGCAGTGGACACTGGGACACAAGGAGGGAACCCCAAGCATGAAACCCTGACACCAGGCCAGTTACTTTTCCCACTCCTCCCCCCACCCCCGACCCCCCATGCTTTCTGCCAGTCAATCACTTTTCCAAGATGGCTCTGCCCCCACCTGGTGCTGCCGCAGCAGACTAGCGACCTGCAGATGGCCAGGGCTGGAGCCACCCAGGTGTGTGGGGAACCAAAAAAACCGACCCGACTGTTTGCCTCAAGAACTCGGATCATTTTTGTGTGCTGGAGCTCTTAACGCCAAAATGTGCATATTCTCAGTGGCTTCGTCCTCAACATGCTCAAATGAGCCCAAATGAGAATGCACGTCATCTCTTGCTTTTAATCTGACTTTAAGGGGAATTTAAAAAAATGTAACAGAACAAAAAGCCCCTAAGCCAACCCATACTAGCTTTGTGAATCGGAAGGAGCACTTTACACACTATGGTTGGAGAGGAGGACCTTTGATCACGCTTCGCAGGTTCCCTGCAACCATACTGACTGCTAGAAAAAGCTCTCATCTTCTCACCTTTACTCCCCTCACACCCCCAGTTACTATATTGCACTACGAGCGTGTACATATATATATATATATATATATATAAATATATGTGTGTGAGTGTGTGTATGTTGTGTGTATTTAACAGAACTGTATCCTGTACTTGTGATGGAAACAACAGATGAGCACCACACTGTGCCAGCTTGGGACCTGCCGTTCCAAGAGAAGAGATACAGTCCTTTTAATTTAATGTTCTTATAAGGACAGACAGTATGAATATAAAGCCTCCAGGCTTTCTAATTTCAGAACAGACGTTGAAAAATCTCACACACTTCAGACCTAAAAAAAAAAGTGTTTTTCTTTTTAAAGAAAAAAAAACTTGATATAGAGTTTTGGTTTTCTTTTTGTTGTTTGGGTGGGGGCTGGGTGTGTGTGGGTGCTTGTGTGATTGTGTGAGGGAAAGCTCGATGTTTCTTTTCTGATGAGACTTTGGAGCCAAAATGACACCACGGCTGAATGGCTGAGTGTGTTTGCTTGGTGTGATTGGCGCTGGGGCCCGACTGGCTGTGGATGCATGAATGGAAAGGCGAGTTTCCGTTGGGTGTGGGCTCAGTGACCTCTTGGCTCTTCTGTGAACACAGGTCCTGGCAGCAGTATTGTGCGAACCCCTGAGAGGATGGTCTTCAAGACCACCTCTTTCCCAAGCACGCTTCTCCTTGGGTGACTAGTGACTCCCCAGCCGTGACAGAATATGGATTTTAGTTTGCACGTTCTGTGCCATTAAAAAACAACATGTGCAAGAAACTTCCCTAAAGCCTGCGTTTGGCCCTAGCATTCAGTGAGGGGACCTTCATGCTCTGCATCACAGGAACACCTTCACTGACTTGAGACCTTCTAATGGGGCCCATCGACTTCCAGGTCTTTGGCAGCCGGTTGAAAGGGGTCCAATGGTCATGGCCGGGTCTCCTGGCCTCCCCAACCCATGAATCCAGTTTCTTAGAGTACCTCCAGCTAGGGCAGGTAGTGGGGACTTACCCACAAACCTGAAGGGCAGTGGGTAGTGCCCCCCCCCTCCATCCCAAGCCCCCAACTCAGGTATAGGGCCCTGCTGTGTGCTTGAGAAGATAAAGCCATGTGAGTTGGTCAACCTGTTCCCCACCTGTGCTTCACATTACTTGAATGTATCACAAGAGTCCCCATTCAACCTATGTATGTATATATATACATATATATGTATATACACACACAAATGTGTGTATATATGTATATATATCATATATAGACTCATTGCCTTCCCCCACAAGTGGTTTACAAATTTTATATATGTATATATATATATATACACATGCATACATATATGTATACGTAAGATTCTTCTAGGTGTGTGTATACACATACGTATGTGCACACATATATTTTTTTCTCAATACTTGAAACTTTGCCACTGCTTGGAATTAAGATGGGGGGGAAGAGCGTGCTGTTTCTGTTGCCATAAGCTTGGCAACATTTTCACCTAACTGCATGTAGTGTGGTAACCTTCCCTGCTGATCAGTGGTCCATTATGGAATGCAAACACATCTCAACAGGGAAACATGGCACGGGGATTGTTGCTGGCATCCTCCATGGGCCAGAGTTGTGTCTGTGGCCACATTTGTGTGTTACTAGTGTCTCAATAGGTATTGAGAGCCTAATGATGAATGCGTAGCTTCAGGATTTCGTGGAAAGGACAGCCAGTTATTCTTCACGGTAATTAATGCCTGATATGTGTTGTGGTGTTTTTTTTTTTCAAAGGTTCTGTTTGAGTGATCCCCCTTTTTTTTTTCTTTGAATTGTGTAATATCAATTTAAATAAACTGATTTGAAATTGTTGGGGGCTTGTGTTTTTAAAGACTCCCAATACCCTCCCAACACTAATTATATGACTTTAGAGCAAGCTGACAAGCATTTATCATATGCTGCATGTCCAGCCTTCATCTTTGCTGGCAGCTGGGTCGTGCAGTGCGTAGAGTACCATTCCTGCAGTCCTTATTACTTTCTGATTATCTTGCTTTAAGGTATGTAAAGCATTTCGCATTTATCCTAAAGGTAGGTGCTGTTATTATCCGCATTTTACAGATGAGGAAACTGAGGCAGGTTATGTGACTACCCAGAGTCACACAGCTAGGACGACCTGAGTTCCAATCTGGCCTCAGGACACTCGCTAGTTGTGCAACCTTGGGCAAGTCACTGAATTCCTGTGTGCCTCAGTTTCCTCATCTGTAAAATGAGCTGAAGCAGGAAATGGGACAACCCCGAATGGGTACATGAAGCGTTGTACACAATTGAAATGGCTGAACACACGTATCCAGCCCTCATCTCCACTGAACTCCTGAGCTAAGTGGCTTAGTGGATAGAGCGCTGGGCCTGCAGTCAAACCCAGCCCTGGACACGTACTAGCTATGGGACCCTGGGCAAATCACTTAACTTTTGTCTGCCTCAGTCTACTTAACTGTAAAAAGGGGATAGAGTAGCTACCTCCCAGGGTGGTTTTAAGGATCAGATTCGAGAATTGTAAAACACTTAAGACAGCGGCACATAGAAGCTATCCTCCAATGCTCCATCACCAGCTGCTAGAGGCCTCTGCCTGGATTATCCCAGTTTCCTCCTCACTTGGAGGATACTTCCAGGCACTTGGCATTCAACCTGGGTGTCATCCTTGACTCTTGGCTCTCATTCACTGAGCATAGCCAGTCAGTTCAGCTATGAATTCTTCCTTATTCTCCCTCAACAACTAGGCTTCATTCCCTCTGCACTATTCACAACCCCACCACTGTGATTTCGTACCTTTGTTACCTCTTTCCTGACCATCCTGCTTTAAGGTATGTAAAGCACTTTGTGTTTATCCTAAAGGTAGGTGCTGTTGTTATCCCCATTTTACAGATGAGGAAACTGAGGCAGGTTATGTGACATGCCCGGGGTCACACAGCTAGAGAAGTGCCTGTAGCTAACGCACCAACACTTTCAGAAGGCCTTCCCCGATTCTCTTAGCTGTCAGTGCTCCCACCCCAATCCCTAACCCCCGACAATGTGTATTTTGAATTATATCCTATATTCACTTATCTGTGACTGTTGGATCTCACCATCATAGGGCCCTGGCCTTCATGGGCTCTCTCCCTAATTGGTCTCCCTCCAATCTAGGAGAGAATTTTTTTGGTGGGATAGGAATGGGGAAGAGGCAATGGGAGTTAAATGACTTGTCCAGGGACACACACAGCTAGTAAGAGTCTGAGGCCAAGTTTGAATTCAGATCCTCCTGACTCCAGGGCCAGTGCTTTCTCCATTGCACTCTGCTGCCCCAACAAAAGCGATTTTTCTAAAGCCTCTATCCAGTTGAATCACGCACTCTACTCAATAAATTTCAATGGTTCTCTGTTACCTCTAGTATAAAATAATTCCTTTTTTTGCATTTAGAGCTCTTCACAGCCTTCCTCTCTTTCCAGTCTTCTTACATATGACTCCCTTCCAGGCATTCCGGGGTCCAGCCGTGCTGGCTGCTTGCTTATCCAATGCCCATCTCCCATCTTTGTGTTTTGACTGTCTCTGGGGACTCCACTTCCTCACTTCCACCTCCCTTCAAGACTGGACTCACCAGGAGGATTTTGACAGTCGCCGCCCTTCTCACTCCTGTCTGCAAGGGCCAGAGACATATCATCTGTACATACCTTTCTGTGTACCTGTGGTCCCATCCCTTAATTAGAAAGGAACCTATTTTTTTCCTTTGTGCCCCCGACTTTCTGGCACAAAAGCTTGTTGATTGATTGGTTATTCTCTCAGTAGAATGTAAGCTCTTCAAGGACAGAGACTAGGTCTATTGAAGTTCTACCCTTCAAGGCCCAGGCCGGTTGCCACTCCTTCCCTTCCCTTCTGTCCTTCCCTTGCCTTGGGTTGTAGGGGGGGTTCAGGCAGGACTAGTGCCTCTGGTGTGGGGGCTGCTGAACCCTTTTCAGGGCTGCCCACACCCTTTGGTGTCCACCTGTCACCCAGCTCTCGCCTGTAACTCCAAGAAGCTGTAGCATGCCCAGCAACCACATCCTAATAAAACCATCTTGACAGACTAACCCAGGTTGTGGGTAACCAAGAGGCGTCAAACCTGTCAGCGTTCTAGGGAGACGTCCACCCCAAGCACGTGAAGACTTCCCCTGGTGGAATGGGTGGATGAGGACAATTTGTTCCAAGGCCATGAAGGCATCTGAGGCAGGCACTGTGGAGCAAGGCGTCAAAGATGCCAAGATCATTCACGGCATCCAGGGCCATCTCTAGTCATCCTGACTTTTGTCTGGACACGAGTTGGATGACTCTGAAAGAGAGAGGGAGGCCGGCGACTTCCCGCAGCTCTGCCTCACTTAAATCTAATTTATATGCAAGTCAAAAGACGTTATTTATACCAGGGCAGGACAAAGTCAGGACGACTGGCAGTGGCCCCGGGGACCTTGGTGTCTTCAATGCCCGATCAAGCTTCATGGCCATTGGAACAAATTGTTCCCATCTATCCATCCCCCTCACCCCAAGAAGTCTTCACATGCTCGGGGCAGGCATCCCCCTAACTCACCGATGGACTCCTTCAACCTGGTTTAGCTGGTCTGCCTAAATAGATGGCTTAGCAGATTGTGACCGCTTCACATGTTACAGCTTCTTGGAGCCACAGGTGAAAGCTGAATGCCAGGTGGACACCAAACGTGGATGAGCAGCCCCAAAAAAGGTTCAGCAGCCCTCACATCAGAGATGCCAATCCTCCTCAAACACTTCATACCCTCCCCCCACCCCAGGGACTTGAAGGAAGCCAGGAGATGATGAGGAAGGAAAGCATTCCAGTGAAAATGCCCAGAGTTGGGAAATGGAGTGTCAGAAAGACCTGAGTTTGAATCCTGCTGTAGACACTTGCTAGCTGTATAACCATGGATGAGTCAACTTAATCTTTCTCAGCCTCAGTTTCCTGAGGATGATAATAGCCCCTACTTCCCAGGGTGATTGTGAGGCTCACATGAGTTAATGTGTGTAAAGCACTTTACAGACTTGGAAAGGCTATATAAATAGGAGCTATTATTAAAATAACAACTTGCTTTTTAGTTATATGGCCCTAGGTGGTATTTCTCTTCCTACGATTAGAAAAAAAGTTTACCTTGTCCTTACCTTGTTCTAGACCCTCCCGAGTCGAGGCTGTTTCCTGGGCCCTGGTTTCATTACACCCTCCCTGCCCCTGCCCCACCCCATCCCCCAATTCCTCTGGCTGCGTCTCAGAGGCCGCTTCTGAAACTGCTTTATTTGGAGGATGAGAGAGAACAAATCTGTAGCTGGTCAACCCTGCCTCGACTTCAAGAACCCTGCTTTGAACCCTCCAGTCTGTCCCTTGAGGAGAGAAGAATTCTATGTTTATGTTTCCTTTTTATTCTGAACTCTGCTCCCCTAGCCTGCATCCTCCCTCCCCATCATTCCAAAGTGTTTGTTAGAAAGTGCTGACCTGGATGGTTCCACGAGCCTCAAGTTTGTCTTGAATGAGGTGACCCTGGACAGCCGGTCACACTCGTTCTTGACTATTTGCTGTGTGGGGCCTCTGTCTGCTCACCTTCCTGAGGCCAGGTGAGCCCCTGGATTTTTCTGGTGGGAGCTTTGCCCTGCAAGCAGAGTGCCCCCACCTGCCTGGATAGCCTCAGAAAGCTGGCACAAAGACCGAGCTCCCATCCCAAATAAAGGCTGCCACCAAACAGGAAGGTTTCTAAGAAGGCAGTGACCTGTTAGAAGGCTCTGGGGTTATAGGTGTCCATGAGTGGTACCTAGCCTTGGGCACAGAATGGGCAGGGCCTATGATGACTGCAAACCTTAAAATGGGGTCACAGGTAGGAGAGCACTTGAGTCTCCATCAGAGGCTCCCACCTCCTGCTTGTAGTGAACTGAGCTGGGGGTGAAGCTGGGTCCAGGCTGGCTCCATTCCTGGGTTAAAGTCTAAAGTGGTTTCTTTGCTGCCTCCCACTCATCGCTCCTGGTTCTTCCTCCTGGGGCCAAACAGCTTAAGTCTCCCTCTAACACATACCTCTTTAAATACCTGATGACCACGATCATATCCTCGCCTTGGGCCCCTCAATTTTGTCTTCTCCAAGCTGAACACGGTGACACCTCATGGGACCCAGCTTTTCACCAGCCTGCTCGCTCTCTGCTGGGTGCTCTCTGGCTTATCAACCTCAGGCCCAGGATTAGAGTTGAGATCTAGGCCAAGGTCACGGTCACAGTCAAGGTAGGAGTCAAGATCGAATGCAGACTTGGGTCAGGATCTAGGTCTATTCCATCCGGCCTAGGTGAAGTATAGTGTCAGGAGCCAGACACAATTCTAAGTCAGGATCTAGATCAAGGTCTAGTTCAAGGTCTGGGTCTGCTTTTGGAGCTGGACTTAGGTCTAGGGTTAGTATCAGGGTCTGGGTCAGGTTCTAGGTGAGGTTCTGGGTCTAAATCAGATACAGGCTTGGATCAGCTTGAAGAAGTAAGCTCGGAAGAAGTGCACAGTGGGATGAGGGTAAGGAGGGAGCCTCTTGCTGGAGACTTGGGGTGCGTAAGGCAAAAGGGGGAGTGGCTTTTATTTAATGGGAAGCTCTATCAGCAGTGAATACATCTGTGCTCGGGTTACTCAGGCATGGTTTGTATGAATGTGTTGGTTACTGGTGTAGCCCCTTGTGGGCTACTAGTGGAAAAGGGGAGCAAAGTCTGCAGGGCTTGAGGCCAGTCTATGCCCATAGCTAGTCCTGGGAAGGACATGCTAGTCTCTATCTGCTGCCCTCCCCTCCCCTACAGCAACTATTCCAGCTGAACAGAGAAATTATCTCAACTCAGACCACCACAGC